GCAGAGCAGAGCAGAGCAGAGCAGAGCAGAGCAGAGCAGAGCAGAGCAGAGCAGAGCAGAGCAGAGCAGAGCAGAGCAGAGCAGAGCAGAGCAGACAACTACTCAACACATCCGTTCCGGGATTACCTACAAGGGCGTGTCGTCCGTGGCTCGTAGGACCGGATCCTGCGTGAACCAGACCACCTGATGGTCGGCGCGAATGCCATGGAGATGGTCGAACAGTTCGGCGGCGGTCTGGCCGTCACCGACGATGGCCAACCGGGCCTCTCCGCCCGTTGCGCGCAAGACCGCTGCAATGCGCGGCAAAGACTCTGCGGCGTGGACAACGGGGCCGGACGAAGGGGAAAGGCCGGGGCCAAGGCTGGAGAGAGACGTAGGGATATAGTGCTGCAGGCCGACCGCACAGATGACTTGGTTGGCGACAATGGAGTCCTGTCGTCCAGTCGCCACGTCGACAAACACCACGTTCCAAGCTCGCACAGGGCCGGGCCCTGGGCCGTCTCGTTCTCGCGCCGGAACCGAAACCGGAGAGATGGACTTCGCCTGCTTCCCGAAGCTGACCTGGTGCTGAAAGGAGGCCGCACACCAGCGCAGATAGTCGGCGTACATCTCACGCGACGGATGGAGTTGGGAACTGTTGGCATAGACCACCAGCCGGTCAGTCGCGTGCAGGTAGTTCATGAAGGTGAATTTCGACCGCGGGTTCTCCGACGTGACCAGGTCGTTCAGGAACGATGTCCTCAGCCGGCCGCGACTGGCGGGCGAAGTCGAGTCCGAACAGGAGCCGGGCGTCCAGGTCTCCTCGGGCTGCCGTTCGAGGAAGACCGTCTTGTCGAGCGCTCGTCTCTCATGCAACGCAACAGCGATGGACAGCGCGCTCGCCCCAAATCCCACACAGACCAGATCCAAGGGCGAGGGCGTGTCTGGCGCGCTCCCGCGCCCTTTCAACGATTCCAATTCCATGTCCATGTCCATGTCCATGATGGTGATGGTGACTTTGACTCGCCTCAACGGACACTGTATCGGACTCGGAGACGCGATTTGTCTGCCCACGACAACCAGCGTGATCTTGATTGAACGGCCAACTGCTTAATCCGGTGTGCAAGCAAGGTACGATTGTTGTTTGTATCCGAAAGAAGTCCAGACTCTCAGACATGCAAGTCTAAGCCTAGCCCAGTCCGCCGGTGTCAAGGTCAAGGTCACATGGCCGTGCCATCCCATCCAGCATCCATCATGAATCATCCATCAAGGCTTTCAAGGTAATGGCAGTACAGTCTTGCCGGCGAAACCGTAATTAATGGTAATGGTAATCAAAATGGTAATGGTACTGGAAATACGCACCGTGGTCTGGTTTCGTCAGACTCAGACTGGCTTGTATACCTAGGTAGGTTGTACTACTGTATCCGTACTCTGTATCTGCACTCCATACTCCGTAATCCTTACCAGTACCAAACAGGTCCACTGGAAAGTCCCCATCCCACGCATACGACGCGCAGAATCCGTACGCAGTATCCGTACAGAGTCCAATACCAATACTAATACCAGCGGCGTGAAATTCAAGGCGCCGAGCCCGCTTGGCGCTTGGCACTTGGCACTCCGCTTCAATTCTTCGCCGATCAGATAATTCCATGAGTGAATCAGATAACTCAATTTGCACGCCTGAGGAGCCTCCTGAGCCCCGGAGCAGCCTAAGGGCACCGTGGAGTGCCCAGCCTGCAGGGATCCCAAGGCCACTTGGAGGCATTCAATCAATCTCCGGGCAGTGGACATCGGCTCAACTTGAAGAATTTTCATCTGATAAGATAATCTCCAATCACGTCGTCCTCCTGGACCTCCTGGGCCTCGTTGCGTGGCACTAGCACCCACCTACCACCTGCAGAACCTTGCCAGCTCCCTCCCTCCGACACGTTCACGTCGCCGGTGGGTTCGTGCCATGACACGACCGCTACCCACGGGATCCTCAGTTTCTCGTATGTGACGAAGGTCGAAGATGGCAGGATTCGTCCCTTGGCACCGGCCTGCGATATCGGATTGTGCCTGCCACAGCACTAGTTAGCCATTATGGCGACATTCGACACTGCGAGAAAATAAAATGAGTGATGCAAGACAGGAAGAGCCACTGCGACGGGAGCCCCCGGGCGGAGAAACACTTGTCCTTTGTCCAAGGTCTCTGCCCTGCTGAAGAATGGATTTCGAAGACGTAATAGTGCGACATGACACTTTGCATCCGACCCGAGAGCAGACAGCAGACAACATACTCGGTTTGCGCGCCCCTCACTCTGCCACCGGTCCAGAATCCAGATGCGGCCGGGATGGGGATAGTTGTTTCGGTGTCCAGGATGTCGGTACGGAGCACTACTACTTACTACCAGTGACATCCGCTTGGCCTGCTACCGTGGATGAGTTAAGTTGAGCATCCCAAGATGCTACTCTGTACTCTGTACTCTATACTAGGCCTCAGGGGTGCGGTGCAGACGAGATATTGGGGGTCATGTTGAACGTTGAACGTTGATCATGAGTTGCTTTACTAAAGTTACTACCTACAGAGTAGCTTCTCCAGCCACGGTTTCGGGAAATTCCTTCCCAAGCTGCATATGGTCCCAACATACTAGACGTGCGAATCAGCCAAACCCGCCCAGGGAGGGGAGACACAAGACAGGCGATATACGTACTCCTGTTGCCCAGGTCGTTTTCAAAGAAAAGCTGCAAAATATCCGACCCGACCTTGGTTCCCTGGGTGGGATAGTGGGCGACGGCCTGGTTGCCAATCGCGATGCAGATCATGGGCGGCACCTCGCTCAGCTCCATGAACTTGGGGGCTGTGCCCTGCATCTCCTGCAGCATCAGCTGGTGGATGTTCTGGGCCGCGTATTGGCCTTGGTGCATGGCGCCACCGCAGCGTTTGATGCCCGACCATTTGGTCAGATCGCCCACCGCGAAGTGATACTGCGAGTTCGACACCTCCTCAGGGAAGCTCAACCTGACGAAAACAAACCCAGGTCAGTTGGCCGGCCAGCCACCACCACTAGAGTCAAAACAGCTTGGAGAGAATTCCGGCTTCACTTACGATGGGGTGATCTTGATGTAACCTTCTTCATCCACGACTGTAGCTGGAAGATACTGGCTTGTCGGCAAGCTCCTCGAGATGGCGTAAATCACTTCGCTGGCCCGAATCGTTCTGCCGCTGGACAGATTGAGAGTCGACCTCGACCGAACGGCCCCGTTCTCTTCCACCGTCTCCGTCTCCGTCCCAAGAACCCGTTCGCCCATGATGGTCTCAACTCCCGCCTCGCGAAGCTTCGTCAAGCAGGTGTCTTTGAAATCGTCCGGTAGAGGCTCGGAAGAGCAGAGCTTGTCCCTGGAGTGGATTAACGTCACTTTCTGCGCCGGCATGACCAGCTTGATTTCCGCCGCCATCTCTATTCCCACGGCACCTGAGCAACGTTAGTGTTAGATGCCGTGCGTGCCCTTAGACAAGGCGACAATTCCGAGTCCGAGTCTGAGTCTGATATTGCCAGTCTTACCTCCACCCACCACGACCACGCCCTCTTGGGCATCTCGCACCGACCGGATCTGGGCATTGGCTACGACCAAGTATCCTTCCCGCGTCGTGGCTTGTGGTACGACCGGCCACACCCGTCGGAGGCCCGTGGCCGCCACCAGAAAGTCGTAGTTCAGCTCGGTCTCAGTCTCGGTCCCGGTCCCAGTCCCGGTCACCGTGACAGTGGCCCGTCTGCTTTTGGGGTCGACACTCCTCACACTCCCCCGGACGAAGCGGATGTTCTTCAGGGCTGGGATCTCTTCGAACTTGGTCCACACCTTGGGTGCAAATGCAGCCGAAGCAAACGCGAGTGGCGATGCGATCAAGTGGTCTGCACATTGGGCAAGATTCAAATTAGCCAGTGACCACTCCAACTCGCACGAGCATAGACGACATGACATAGAGCAATCGTGGGCGTCCCCACGAGCATGAGTACAGTAGTAACTCACAGTAGCCGTCGCGCTCGTCGACAACTGTAATGTCGACGGGGATCTTGCCCCGGTTGAGGGGCTGGACTTGGTCGGAGGAAAAGCGAGCCGGGCGACCGTTGCAAAGATCCAGCAGATTCAGAGCTGCTCCCAGTCCTCCATAAGAGCCTCCCAACACCAGGACTCTGAAGGGGTGAGTCCGAGTCCGGCCAGCAACCGCGACCCCTAGACCGAGACCTTCATTGGACGGCATTTTGACCAGCCTACTACACCACGAGCTGAAAGACCGACGCAGCAGCAGCATCCAGGCCAGAGGACCATTTGGCCACCCAGCAGGCCCCCCAAGAAACAGGGAGCCGCCTATATATATACAATACACAATACACAATACATAGTGCCGGCCGAGGTCGGCTAAGAAGTGGGCTCAGGAGGCGTGGCGTCGAGGCTCCAATCTTATCTGATCAAAATACGCCGTCTCCATCTGTTGTGTCTCATTGGGCGTGTATGTACGGAGTACGGAGTATGTACAGCTTCCCCTGGTCTGACAATATTAATGGATTGTGATTCCTGACAGCCTTAAGACCCTAAGAGCATTGTCGGCCGCCGGGCTTGGCTGGACTCGCGTGCCTACCAAGATGTCATCGTGGACCTGTAGCGGCTCGTACTGTAGCCAACTACGCGGATGGACTCAAACTATATTGCTATCGTTCAATTTTGTCATTTATCGGTCCTTATTCATCGTTTATTGTTCATTATTTGTTAGAAACGAGGAAGGAATTCGAGGACATCTCGGCACAGTATAAGCGTCCCGTTCTAATCAAGCCTGTTCGTCGATACCGAAGATTTCATCCCAGTGATCATAGATCATAGTTGAGCCAATCCAAAGGGAAGCTCAGATTCGTGGATGCATCGGCCTCGGTCTGGCTTGCTGACGAGTTCAACACTTGAAGGGAAGCCGGGCTGTGGTCTCGAAAGCCATCTAGCTCTCGCATCTCAAATCCCGTGTGGTGCATGTTGATGTTGGCCTGGTCTGCACTGCATGGCCTGGTGCTGATGACGGGCTCCTGGCGTACGGCGTCCGAGGTGCCCGTCAGGCATCTGGCCACAATCTGCAGGCCTTCTTTGGTCTTCGCACAGTTGGTCGTTGGTGGACGGTGACAAGAGACACTGAGGATCCCAGCTCAACATGAGCTCATACCGCTTACTGTACACCGTGGCCATCCTCAAGGCCATCACTGGAAGCCGCTGCTCCGGGCGCACGTCACAGAGCAAGTGACCGAACACCACGTCGTCGAAGTCGGCCAGCAACTGCGACTGCGACTGCGACTGCCGCAAGGCGCTCCAGTCTGGCGATGCGCGGTCCGCGCCCAGCTTGGAGATCTTGTCCTTGACCAGCGTCGCGACCTGCCACGCCTAGCATTGAAAGACGCACAGGGTCGCGTCGGTGAATCCGTCTCTCGACCTGGGCTTCTGCGTCATGTCCGGGTCCAAGTCTGCGTCATCGACGTTCGCCGGGGGGTGGGTGTCGAACAGACCAAGGTGTATCGACAGTCCCCCGAGACCTAGCGGTCGCCGGGCAAGAAATCAGGGTGGCACACCGTCAACCAGAGTCGGCGCCTCATCTCTGCGTCGAAGATGGATATTCCGGGAAGGAGAGACCAATCCCGATGGAAGCCGATGCTGACAGACCGCAATGCGGATCAGCAGTCCCGTCATGGACCAGATATACCTGGTTGACTCGGTGGAGCGAGTCACGAACAGATAGTGAGTGAAGGCTTGGATCACCGGCAGCTGCGTGGTGTTGATGAAGTCGGTCCAGGCGAGAGCTTCTTCGGTGCCGCGTCGATACCGCACGAGGAGATCGTCTCTCTCGGCATGGAAGTTGACGCGGACCTCACCTCGAATGAAGGCCGTTAGCTGCGACGAGGCATTTGCTTACAGTAAAGATCCATCTCATGATGGTGGCATGATGGAGACAGAAAACGCTAGGGACAGACCTCTTCGTCCATGAGAAAAACCACAGCTGCCAATGAGATGCTGAGTATCAGTGGCCCCATGGCCTGCTCCACGTTCACAATATTTCCCCGTGCCTCATGGAATGGCGGCCGACAACGAGGGAACATGCAGGATCTTGATGAAAGGATTGACGCTTTCCGGAAATGTATGCCAGAGGAAGAACGTATGCGACGGCAGTGGCCTCATGAGCATGTCTCCCGAGCTGAGATCACTGCGCCGGGGTTGTGGACAATGAAGGAGGAAGCTGAGCGGGCGGAGGAATCCACTGGTGATGGTGATGGTGATGGTGATGCGAGGCTCTCTGGATTGTCCACTACGTCGGGTTCATCTTCATCGTCCACCTCCAACTGCTCGTCTATGTAGCCCCTAAGCCTAAGCCTAAACTCCTAAGCCTAAACCCCTAAACCCTAAGCCTAAGAAGCCTTAACTCCGTTGCTGTTTGGCCGTTAAGTCCGACTCTGTCCGGTCCGAGCCAATCATGTGCTGCACCTGCCCCTGTATAGCGTTGTACATCTGCCTGCTTCCTCCCTCACTTGCATCAAATTCACCCCGCAGCAACAGACGGTTAACTCTCGAGAGGGATCATGATCATTGTCCACTTGTACGGCTACTGATATGCCTATCACTCTGACGTGTGCAGAATGCTGCTCTGTCAAAAGGGGGAAGTGATGCCAAACATGATTCATCGGGAGACTGTGCGGTGGCTAAGGCCAAAGGTACAGGCGCGAGCCTCCAGGCGGTTCTCCTCGTGATGTCCAACCCTTGACACACCCCTGCCGTTCTCCAAAGTTGAATCTTAAATATTACTTGTCCTCGCGCTCATCTCCTCGTCCTCCTCCTTGTCCTTCTCCTCCTGCTCCTCCTCCTCCTCCTGATCGTTCCTCAAGGATTCAAGCCCCCCAAGATGGGGCCGACTACGGCACCCAAGGAGCTCAACAACCACGATACCATGTCTCTGACAGCAACAGACCCTGACGGCCCTTCTGTTGACGCACAAAGAAACCCGGAGACTGATGTAGAGAAGACGGTGGTGGCGCAGCTAGATCCGAGCACTGCTGATTCGCAGTGGGATGGACCAGACGACCCCGGAAATCCCTTGAACTGGCCAGCCAGGAAGCGAAACGCCCAGGTCATTGTGGTCGCTGGACTCATGCTGGCCGTGTATGGACGCCATTTTCTTTCCTACCCAAAAATTTTTCTCCCCCATCCCCCGTCAACGAACAATCTACAGTGATGCTGACCCTAGCCTCAGGAATCTCGCATCCACCATGTTTGCCCCAGCCGCCGGTCAGCTCATGGACGAGTTCGGATTCACCAGCCACGCGGTGGCGTCGCTGACCGTGTCGATCTATGTCCTCGGCTTTGCCCTGGGCCCTCTGCTCTGGGCGCCCTTGTCCGAGATGTACGGGCGGCTCGTCGTCTACCTCGTTTCAACCGTCTTGTTCCTCGCCTTCCTTCTCGGCACCGCCTTTGCGGCCAACCTCGGCCAGTTCATGGCATTCCGGGTGTTGAGCGGCGGAACCGGAGGGGCCAGTCTGGCCTTATGCGGTGGTACGCTCGCCGACGTCGTCCCCAGAGAGCACCGGGGGAAATGGATGTCCTTGTTTGTGCTGGGCCCTCTCTTGGGACCGATCATAGGCCCCGTCATGGGCGGCTTCATCGCACAGGACGTTGGCTGGCGCTGGGTATTTCGCGTCATCGCCATTGCGGTACGTCTAGCATGCCCTATTCCCTCATTCCATTTCATTCATTCGTGCTCTGCAGCTCCGAGAAGGAGGTATATATCGATTGCCAAGCACAAGTAACTGACCTGAGCCACTCTTACAGACTGGCGTGTGCCTCGCTCTGATATTTGCCTTTCTGTGCGAAACATTCGCGCCAGTCCTCCTCCGCCGTAAAGCGCGGGCGCGGGCGCGAGCACAAGCCAAAGACGAGCCTGAGCCCGCGACTTATGTCGAGAAGCCAGATATCGGGGCTGAGCTCCGACGAGGAATTGTGCGGCCGCTGAAACTTCTGGTGTTATCGCCCATCGTACTACTCCTGTCGTTATACACGGCCTTCTACTTCGGGCTTATATTTCTCCTCTTCACCACCTTCTCCACCGTCTACATGGACCAGTATGGCTGGTCGACGAGCATCTCCGGCCTGTCGTACCTCGGCATGGGCGTGGGCATGGGGGCCGGCTTGGCCGCCCAGGCCCGACTCAGCGACCAGTTCATCAGGCAGCGCACGGCCAAGAACGGCGTGTCCAAGCCGGAAGACCGCCTCGTGCTGATGGCCATCATGTCGCCGTCCATCCCCATCGGCATGTTCTGGTACGGATGGGCGGCCGACAAGCAGACACACTGGATCGTGCCCATCCTCGGCACCGTCTTCATTGGCGTCGGCATGATCTTCACCATGGTAAGAAGAGTATTTCCTTTCCCGACGAAATCAGAAACAGACCCCTGGCCGTACCCCTAATTCTCTGCATCAATCGAACCCAGTATAATAAAAGAGCGGCTTGACTGACCTGTGACTGTCTCTTCTATCTCTAGCTGCCGGTTCTGGTCTACCTCGTCGACTGTTTCGGCGCCGAAGCCGCCGCCTCCGCCATGGCCGCCAACACGTTCATGCGTTCCATTGCCGGCGCATTCCTCCCCCTGGCCGGTCCCGCCCTCTATGAAGCCCTCGGCCTCGGCTGGGGTAACAGTCTCTTGGGCTTCCTAGGCCTGGCGATGCTGCCCATTCCGTGGGTCTTCTACCTCTACGGCGAGAAGATCAGGCTCAGCCGCAAAATAACCCTCTAGATATAATTAAAAGTAAGCTTCTTCTTTGCTGTTGTTTCTTCTTCTTCAGTCGGTTAGGCTATGGATAGGATCATCCTAAGGAGATTCTCAGTCATCATATATAACCTGCCATTGGAGATTCTCAGTCATCGTATTTAGTCAGCCATTGGCGATACTGGATCGGAAGAGAGAGATAGAATCAGTGCTAATGAGGATGGGGTTGCCAAGGCGCGAGCACCGTTTGCACAGGCGGGCAAGAATCTCCTGCGGGAAGTGAAGAAGGGGGAAAGGGATGAGAAGAAGTAGTCTTCATGTCAGGACTGAGAGGTTTTTGATCCATCTAATTCATTTGCAATGCCTGGCCAAGCCTCAAATCATACTCTTCTTTCTCCTTGATCTTTGTTTGAATGAAGCTGAGTGCATTAGGGCATCATGCTTCCCCCAAAGTTTGCTTCATTGATGTGATCTTCCGGTCAAACCGCAGCACTGTGATCTCCCACTGATCTCCTGAGAAATCCCCAGCACTGCAGATGGACTGACCATCTCGCTAGGCATCTTTCCCTCGGATAGGGTCATAGTCGGCACCATGAATCTCCTTCAAGAACCTCTCGGCCCCTTCCTTGTCATTGGCAAAAATATGATCCGTCACCATCCTCTGGGGCGTCTCGCCCAGCCACTGGAACAGCGAGAAATCCTGGAACTTGTCGGCGCGGAAGATCTCAAGCACCTCCACAGGCTCGTCGTCGCTCAGGTTTTCGATGAAATGGCCCATGTTGCGCGGGATGACCCCAACGTCTCCGGCCACGAAGTCAAACGTTCGGGCGGTGCCCTCGGCGCCAAAGACGGTGACGCGGGCGCGGCCCTTGATGAAGAACGACCACTCGTCCGCATTGGGGTGCCAGTGCATCTCGCGCAAGGCTCCCGGCTGGATGTCGAGATGAGCCGCGGCAATGGTCTTGGAAATGGGGAAGTTGGTCGAGTCGGTGATGCGGACCTGCCCTCCCGTCGTGTTGACCGGTTCTTGATCCAGCATCTTGTGCGTAAACTGGTATTTGGACTTCTTGACGTGGCGGCCGTCTGGCCTTTCCTCGTCAATGGACCCGGGCAACGATCCTTGAAAGATGTACTTGTCTGACTTGGGGATCGTCTTGAAGACTTCGGGGGCTAGTCGGAAGTTCTCCCCAAGCACAGCTTTGGGCGTGTGAGCCAGCCAGTCGGTCAACAAGAAGGTCGACTCTTCGTTGAAGTTGCCATCGTCAAACACCAGCAGAAACTCGGTGCCGTTGGGGCTGAGCCCTTGTAGGGAGTGCGGGTGGCCGGATGGAAAGTACCACAGGTCGCCTTTCTGGAGATCGTCGATGAAGCTGCCGCCCTCGCTGTCGAGACCGGTGACCCGAACGTTGCCTTCGAGCACATATGCCCATTCGGCTTCCTTGTGCCAGTGGAGCTCTCGGATGACACCATAGTCGAGTCTCATGTTGACGCCCGCGAGTTCTTTGCTAATGCCCAGCTCTCGCACCGTCGTCTGGCGAGTCCAGCCTCCTTCCTACAGAACATCAGCACCAGGACCGCTGGACCAGCACTGTGCTCGAAGAGAGAAGCACCTACCTCGATTCTCATGTGGGAATCAGCGAAGCTCCACCGCATGTTGGGCATGCTGCCGTGATCCGTACTCGGAGGGCGCATCAGGTCCGGGTTCTGCCTCTCGCGATCCCTGTTCCGGGGGCCGAGCATGGTCGCGCCATCCCCATTTCTCCAGGGGAGTGGCTGCCAGTCATTCCCGTACGAGTCGACCTTGTGGTCATAGGGATCTCGGTGCTTCCGCGTGTAGGGACTATTCCGGTCGATGGCCCGGATGGGTTGCTGGTCCCTCTCCGAGATGGGAACGGCCAAGCAGATGCATATGCTGGTCAGAAGTGACCAGAGGAGGAGCTGCATCTTGCAAGGAATCTGTAGATGCAGAACGAGCAGGAGTAGAAGGAACGGCAGCTAGAAATCAGCAACAAGGACAGGTGCAACGCTGGGGTTGTTACAGCCAATATATACAAGGTAGGTGCTAGTAGTAGTACTGTAAGCAGTCTCTCATCAAGCACCCGGAATGCCCGGCTGGAACTGGCATCGAAGAACGAGCGAGACACCTGGAATCATCAATACATGATGTACCTTCATCACGGCATTTATTGAGCCATCCCCATCCCCATCCCCATCTATCTCTGCAGTGTGAGAGGTGAGATGAGAGATATGGATTGTGTGACGTCAGCGAAGTGGCCGGCTCAACCTTTAGCAGAGCACATCCATCTGCTCCGTGCAGAGTATGTACCTTACTCCGTACATCCATTTACTATCTCAATGAAAGGTGGTGAAGGCAAGGACGTGGTGAAATCATTGTAGAGCCCGGCTGAACGTTTATTGGCATCTTCAATCCAATAATTCTGTCTCTTGACTGCTCGACTGCACCTCAGTCCTTTCATCTCCAGATTGTTTCCCGTCTTTCTTCCTCCATGCACCTCATTACTCAGGCTCTGACGGCCCCGGACTCTAGACACTGCCGTGCTTCGCCTAGCACACATGCCTACAGCTACTCGCAACGGGTACGGCACCCTCAATGGGGCCAACTCCTCTGATGAGCACTCTACAGCACGAGCCTCGGGCCAGGAAACCGACGCGCTGCTGGGGAAGCCCGCTGCAGGTGCTTCTTGGGACAGGTTTCGCCAGTACATGCTCGACGACATTGACAGGAAATGGGCCGACCTTCTGTTGCTGCTGTCATACGTGATCACGGGCCTGCTGGACAGTTCGGCGGTCTTCATCTGGGGCTCCTTCGTGAGCATGCAGACCGGCAACACCGTCTACCTGGGGCTGGGCCTGGTCGAACCCACCAAGGGGACCCGATGGATTCGGTCCCTGACCTCGATCGCCTTCTTCTGCTTCGGCTCCTTCTGCTTCAGTCACTTCCACCGGCATTTCTCCCCGAAACGGCGTTGGGTCCTCCTCGTCTCGTTTGCCGCACAACTCCTGCTGGTGCTCGCGGCAGCTGTCATCGTCATGCTCGACAGCGAGAGTGACAGCGACTTGCGCTGGGAGGTGCTGGTCCCTGTGGCCTTAGTGGCCTTCCAGAGCAGCGGACAGGCCGTGACGAGCCGAGCCTTGGGATATAACAGCCTCACCAGCGTCGTGCTCACCAGCATCTACTGCGACCTCTTCTCCGATCCCTTGCTCCTGGCGGGGATTACCCAAAACTCTGAGAGAAATCGTCGCGCAGCCGCCCCCATCCTCCTTTTGACCGGTGCCGTCCTCGGGGGCACGTGGGCTCATAGCTCGGTGGGTCTCGCCGGGGCATTGTGGACTGCAGCTGGGTTGAAGATGACCATCATGCTGGCATTCTTCCTTTGGAGAGGAGAAGAAAAGACACCGAGGCCCTGACGTGTGAAGGCCACAACAGACAGTTCTAAATAGGCTTGCCGTTGGTCTGCAGAATACGGGATATCTGTATTGGAGCGCTTGCTTGCCAAGTCATATTCCACATCGATCTCGAGTACTCTTTCGAGCTTACAGTGAGAACGACTGCTACGATTATCCTCTTGTCTGTCGCGGCTTGCTACCGTGCACATGGTGGCTCGCGACTCCGGCAAGTTTCAGACGCTGGCTTCGCATGGATCCAAGCTACTTGACCGAGGGTGATTCTATGAGAAGGCCCTTTCAGCATTGAGATCGTGCTTCTCAGGTATCGATGATGGCCTGCGGAGCCACTGAAGTTATGCAGTAATGTTGGCATGAGGTAAATCTTGCCGCACCGTGAGAAACATACTAGGTACTTTAGGTCGGAGAATACTCAATACGATTGAAGAGCAGCCCATTGGCGCCAGCGTAGGTATGCGCCTTTACGATTCTATTCATCATGGTTGGCTCGAAACCGTGTTACGGAGCCCTCTATTGACCTGCAGAACTGGCCCTAAAAAGCGATTTGCCATTCACAAGTACTTATGGAAGAAGTTCAGAAGCGTCTGGTATGCCTTCTCATATGCGGCCTTGACGTTGGGATCCTTCAAGTCACTTCGGGCGGCCATGAAGCCGTGAATCTGGTCGGGGTACCATTCAACCTGCTTGGGCACTTTCAAGTTTGCCTCGTACTGATCGACGGCGGTCTTATCTTCATCCTTGGATGCAATCGTGAGGATAGGAATCGTGACATTCGGCGCGTCGTTGGGATCCACCATGGCTGGATGGCACGTTGCAGCTGCCTTGAACGGTGTTCCGGCCTGGGAGACTAGGTTGACGATCTTGGATGCGGTGATTAGCTACGATGGACTGTGGTAATACTGTGGCAGAGCCCAGAGGACATGGAAAACTCACTTTTCCGCCCCAGCAGTAACCAACCACACCCCAGTCCTTGACATCGGGGTGCTTGGCCTTCAACTCATCAATCACCTTCTTTACGCGCGCGACGGTTTTGGGCGGAGCCGCAGAAGTCTGGAAAAATTCACCCAGCTTCTTGCCCTTCTCTTCTGTGTCGGGCGGGTACCAGGAAATGTCGGCTGGGGTGCCTTCAAACCAGTCCGGGATGAAGATTTGGTATTGGTGATCTTTATCCGCGTGTGCAAGGATATCGGCGCCCTGGAGGGTTTGAGGGAAGAAGCCGAAGATATCGTAGATGACCAAAATGCCTTGCTTGGCTGATGACGGTCCGGTGGTATCTGAACACGCCTGGAGTCAGATCTTGATCCTGGTGGGTAATCATCCGGCGGGTTGACAGTCACTTACAAGTCTTCAATCCGTCGACAGTGGTGTAGCTGCCTTTTTCTTTCTGATGACGCTGTCAGTGCCAACAAGGACTTCTACAGAGGTCCGAGAGAAAACGTACGTAGCCCTGGCTGACGACTGCTGGGGTGTTGCAGCCTGTCGAAGCAGTTAGCATTCGCTGGACAAGCTGCTGAGGTCAAGTCAGGTCTGGTCCTTACAGGCTGCGGAAGGCGTTTGCGACATGCTGGCTAGAGCTCTGGACTGAGCAACAGGATGGAGGACAGATCTGGAGGTAGTAGAAAGCTGTTCAGCGAGTGCAGCAATCCGACGCGACGTCATTTATAGGAAGATGAGCGTGTAGATGTGGTAGATTCAGTGGTGCATGCCCTCTCAGAGTGACTGCGGTCGACACCTCGAGAAGCATCTTGAACCCGGCAACTCAGCCGGGCTGCATCCGCTGACGTTTAATCATTGGGGGGAAACGTGCGGGGTAGCACTTCTGATTAGGTAGGAAGGTCTGCCGAGCGGGCACTGGCAGATGATGTCATGACGGACGCGGCCAGAGATCGTAGATACCAGGTACCACCTGAATATCAACATAACATGTAGCACCAGATAAGGTAGTATGTAAGGTGCCTAAGGTGCCTAATGCCTAATGCCTAATGCCTACCTTAGGTAGGCAATGCGTACATCCAGAGTTCAAGGCATAGATGATCTGGATGGCGCCTGGGTTGGACACGGATACTCCCTTGGGGCCCAGACGCACCAGGGGTCCATGCATCTCAGGCAAGCGGATATGCTCAACCTCAGGTCGACGGCCCCAAACCAAGAAGAAGCGCCTTAGATTGGTACACAAAGTCAACGTCGGGCCTGGAATGTCGTTGATCCTATGTCCGTACTGGTGACCAGGATGCGGCTCGGCCCCAGATTCCCCCACAGCACAGCCATTCTGGAGGAGAAATTATGGCATTCTGGGGGGCTGGCGGAGATGGGTTCCCGGGACTGGGGCCTTTACAGAGTAGGTCTAAGGCCGAGAGTGGCTTCTAGGATTGATGGCGGGTTTCTTCTGGAACAACTTTGGATAGGAACGTCGAAATTTCTACCCGTACTCTGTATCTGTACAAGCGATATGCCAATGTCCACCCATAAAAATCCTAGATGGGTTGTTTCTCGTTGCTGAGGAAGGCCCCAAGCCCCTCTTGTAATCAGCCCACCCTTGATTTGATAGGCGCCTGGAGGCTCGACTGTCAGATGGCGGACTGGCTGTGGCTAAACCTTCTAATAGTTCGTAGCTCATATGCCAAGGGGTTGCCGACTGGACAGAATTGCAGGGATGATGATATCTGCAAGGGCCACGCTTCTGATTCGAACTCCCGGATCAATGGCTGGTCCTCGATAGGTCATTCATGTACGATCATCTTCGAAGTTTCACCTTTATCTCTACAAACGATCCAGACCTGCTTGGGGCCGTGAAGCGCCAAACTTCGTCCAGTGGTGTGCGATTCTGACATCTAAGCTACTCACTGGCTGGACTGACTGACCGTCTAGCAGCTCTGGGCGCTGCATGACGCCGCGGGGATCTTCAAAGCTTTCGAACCTGATCACACCACCTTACTCGGCACCCCTGCCAAAGAAGCAAGGTACTTATTAACAGCCACCCCCAGCACTGGGCAGAATCGATCACATTTCTGCTCAAGCACAACAAACGGTATTCTGCACGATGAAGCCATTCTCCCACACTGCCATGAGGGGCCGGGGAATTCTGTCGGTGGCCACCCGACACTACACCTCGACCTCCCGGCTGCTTCAACCCACCGCCCTTCACCGTGCCGAAGTCGCCGCCGATCTCAAAGCTCATCCCGAAAGCCAGCTCACCCAGGAGAAGCTTCCGGACAAAAAGCATAGTCATCACTGGGAAGAAGCGAATGCTACGGAGAGTGAAGCCGATGTATGGCACGAAATGAAGACGGATGACAAGATACTAACGAGCACGTGATAGATCAAAGCAGATCTCGAGGCACAGGCCGAGAAGCAGAAACAAGAGACCCAAAACCAAAAGGGAAGCGGTCAGTGATCATTACGGGCTGGGGTTATCCTCTTCAACGCGGAATGGGCGCCGCTGCATAGATGGAGCGCGGACGTGTATGGCTTTCGCCAGGACTTGATAGACGCTATGGTGTTGGCTATGTCGCTGGATTTCCCAAAAAACCAACAAGAGCCGAAGGAAGTGTTCAGTCCACCAGGGCTGTAACTGGTGCCTGCATGCCAGTCTTCGACAGTGGTGAATGGATTTGAAGCCATGTGTTGCTTTCTGTCTTGAGGAGTGTTGGCTAGGTAGCATCGTCTCGATTACTGCAGGTTACTGCAGGCAAAGGGCTTAGTCCGAGGAACACGCTTGCAACTTTTCGCCCCCTCACTGCCCCTTTTCCTTCATTCTTTGTCGGCTATGAGCAACGTGGAATCACATTGGAAGGAGCACAGTGTAGCCTGAAAACCACGTACCAGGCCAACGGACTGATGGCTCGCCGTGTTTACATCCAATGCGATACAACGTGCGAAGATCAACCTAGCCAAGGGATTCATCCAAGCCGAACAACATTCCTGCCACGAACATTGTGAACAACTTTCTGCTCAGATAAAGTTCAACAATGATATCAAGCACGCGAGCAGGGATCCGGACCCGGCAAATGTCTTAACGGCACCACTCGTGCTCGATGCTGAAGCAGCTGATCCTGTTCCTGAGGCGGTTTGTGATGCGCCGCCCGAAGTTGAAGCCGAAGTCGAAGCCGAAGCGGTGGATCTTGCAGTTGAAGTGGAGGCAGCGGTGCTGGAGGAAGTGGCTGTCGCAGAGGTGGTGCTCGGAGTGATACTGGGTCCCGGCCCAGCTGTGATGATACCATCGTTCCCGCCAGGGTATGTCCCACCTGCTGCGGCTGTGTAATCCTGTGGTACCTGGGTTTGATTGCTGGCAAAGTAGTACATGGCCGCGGCAGGTCTTGGGCCAAGCTTGGACTCGTCTAGGAAGGCGGTGAGATTGAAGTTTGTGCGGTTTGTAGCATCGTAACCCTCGAAGGCCTGAGGAAACGTGAAGTTTTCATGCTGGAAAAAGGCATAGATGATGTAGCGATGCGCCGCGGAGTCGGTTGGAGGGGATGGTCGAAGGTAGGGGACCCGTGGCGCGGTGGAATTTACGAGCTGGCTGGTGCCATCCGGGGATTCTGCCGTGGTTGTCATGTCCGTCTGAAGCCAATGTAGCAGGAATCGTAGGCTAGGATTCGAAGGATATCTCGCGTCAGGGTCGACCATGAGGAGGACATAGGATCCATTGTAGGCTGCGATGGAGTCGTAGTTGGCAGTCTCGACGGCGACGGCGGGTTCTTGGGCAGGAACTGGTAGATGGTCAGTCAGCCAGCAGTCGAGATATAAGCAGGCCTGGCATCACATACTGCCTACACCAAACAGCTCGGCCTCGGTGACGATCAAGGGATTGCCATTGTCCTGGTAAGTTACAGAGAGCTCGGTATGGTTTGGGGCCTCTGGGAAGCCGAAGTCTGGTGGAGGGATGGCCAAGGCCAGACGACTGGCGATGAAGGATGAGACGATGAGATTCAAAAACATGACGAAGCAGTAGTTGACTGTAACAGGAACCGTAGAGAGAGAAGAAGGGAAGTCATTCAATACATTGCTGAGACACAGACGACGTCATCGGAGAAGATGGATGCTCCAGATGCTCCAGATGGGTCATGGTAAACCACAAGCTGCCTGCGCCGAGAATCCAATACCTTGGGTTCCGGTCTGATGCGGGAGAACGAAAAATGGGCTTGGTTCAATTCTGGACTGGCTTCTTGTACGCCTACATGTACGTAGCTGTTGTAGCTGCGAAATATCATTGAGCTGAGTGAGGGCTGCACAGGGTTGCTTGCGCACGGTCAGTTTCTCGCAGCGGGGGCGGCGTATGTTCCACCCTAGAAATCCGTCACTCACGGGGAAGCAGGGAGCTGCACTATGCTAGCCATATTGGGCATCCCTAGCCCTGAGGCTGAACTCTATTGCCGAGACTTCCCCCTGACGGCAAAAAGGCACCTAAAAGTGACTCCTCGAGGTTAATATCAATGTGTCACAACTCACGAGAGGCTCTGGTCGAGACTTGGCTGATAACGCTGCAGGTAGTCATCAGACATCGTCAAATTTCCATGGGAATCTATGTGTAAGCTACCGCAAGCCACCCGTCGTACCAATCTCAACAAGCCGCAAGTGGGATGGGGTTTGAGGATGGCAGATTGGAAAATGGCTTGATACCTACATGCCAATTCTGCTAGACCTACATGCCAATGCTGTTAGACATACATAATAGCATGAACAGCTGTCATCCCGCAACCACCGTGGCCATGTAAGTCGCTCTCCTGGGCCTGTAACTTACCTTTACTTATACGTACTTAGATAGGTTCCGCTGTGCTCGTTTGTTCATATTTCCGGAGGAGTGCCGAAGATGATACTACATCTCCAGGATACCGCTAATACGCATCTACTCAGATACAAAAAGTTGAGCTTATTACTCTGTCTGTTGCTAGTGGTTAGAAACATGTCACCTAACTAGCTGACTACCTGTGGAAGATAGTATACGAGGAGTGCTTACCGCCCGGGCCGTCTACTCGCTTTCTTAAGCGACGAGATGGATGCTTCTACGGCCCATTAGTCGGCGGGGTGGATTTGCCCTGCGACATTCCAAGCCCAGCTCAGATCTCAGCTGGGCCCTGAAGCCGCCTGGTGTGCTGGCCTGCCCCTATGGCTTGCATTTGCAGTGCTTGACACACATGATCTCAAACTAACAATGCTCGATTGCCCAATAATGCAGCCGCATATTCGGATCTGGTCAAGATTTGCGACGCATCTGCCAGTTTGTCAAGCTTCGTCGACAATTGAAACATGAGGGGAATCCCTTTACTTCGATCTCAATGCTCGACATGCTCCAGATCCGTCTATGGCATTGGCTCATGCCCAAAGGTGGCAGCTTCGCCACGATCCGTTTGTTTTGTTCACCTGTGATGAAGAAATGAGGTACAAAATCCTCCTGGAATCCACCTGCGTCTCCAAGCTTTCTACCGGCTACATCACCTTCTTCGTGCATGTACGGAGTATCTGTACTTCGTATCAAGCTCTTGGGGACCGGTATTCGATCTCCAGTCGCCAACCTTGCCCTAGGTGGACGACGTGCTCCTTTGTCGTGGTCTAGGCACCCCAATGGACGAGCAAGCACAAACGCCCGCCTCGGCTCTCAATTCTGAAAAGAGCTACCTCAAGGAGCGGCTGGTCTCAGCGCTTCCGATCTTCATGCAGCCTGGTGGCATTCGGGACAGAGACATTCGTCCGACATCATATTTGGATGCTCTGCGAGGATATGCATCACTGTTTGTCCTTTTCGCCCACTATTTCAATGCCGATAAAAAAACACCTGGAGACAGCAGCCGTTCATCAACGTCGTCTTTAATGGCTCGGGCATGGTGGCCTTATTCTTCGTCATCTCTGGTTATGCACTGGGCTATCGATTCCTCGTTCTCATCCGCAAACGGGACGCGGACCGAATGCTGACCGCTCTGGCATCTTCAACGTTCAGAAGATATATCAGACTGTATGCGAGCACCGGACTTGCATGCCTCATAGCACTGGTACTGGTGCGGCTACGCATGGATGACGGTATGCGTGCACCGATACACAAGGAAACTTTCATGGATCAGCTATGGAACTGGATCTTCGACCTCGTCCGGTTCTGCAATCCCTTTGCGGAAATCATAGGATGGGTGAACCCAAAGGTTTTCGATTCAAAGTATCTCGGCCAGATGTGGAGCATTCCTGTCGAATATCGAGGGAGTGTGGCCCTTTTCTCATTCTGTACCGCAGCCTGCAAACTTACAGCTCGAGATCGAATGATACTGACCTGGATTGTTATCGTTGTCTGCAATGTATGGCAGGCTGTCTACATCTCTGGGTTCATGGCTGGCCTCTTCATCGCGGATCTCTCCTTGAAGCGGCACCCCGAGCGCCTGGCCAAGCAAATACCATCTAATACACCAAGCGGTCGACTGAACACAGCAGAAAATTTTTCCTCCAGGGTGCGACTAGGATATGTCTGGCTCTTCATGCTGGGTCTGTTTCTGTCGAGTCAGCCCGACGAGGTGAACCTCGGCATACTAGGACCCTATCCCTGGAGGTTTCTGAAAGGCCTTGTTCCAGCCTGGTGGGACAAAACAAGAGGCCACCTTTTCTGGAATGGCATCGGCGCCCTTAGCCTTACATACGCATTGGAATTCTACCCTTCTCTACAAAAGCCCTTACATTGGCGATTCTCACAGTACCTTGGGGATCTTTCGTTTGGAATCTACGCGACACATCCTCCGGTTTACATCGCCGTCTGCCAGCGGATGCTTCAACCTTTTCGGCAGCACTACCTGGGCGATTCCTACATCGCTTACTTGCCCGGATTCTTGATCACTCTTTGGGCTGTCTTCACTGTTGCCGATTACTTCAGCCGTATCGACAAAGCCGTGGTCAACTTTGCAAGTCGGGTTCAGAAAACATTGTTTCTCGACCGGTAGAATGAGAATGGGTTTGTTTATCTGCTGCCAGCCACGAGAAGCCTGTTTTCTCACTGCCGGTAGAAATGCTCGTCTTGCTCGGACTGGACAAGATGAGATTCGACCGACCTTAGGAAGTTGAGAACTCCAGTAGCAGCTTCGTCAGCCCCGAACGGATCGCAGGTAACATCAATCTATCGATTTCTTCTTCGACGGTTTTCAACAAAGTCTTCTCCTGCAAGCTCAGGCAGCACTCGGCTCGAGATCGGGAAACTTGCTGTCTAAGGTTGGTCACTGTAACATTGGTGGATAATGATGTCGTTGAGTTGTCACGGCACGGTCTCTCAAGCACGTAGAACAGGACTTTGTGCAGTACCCTAGCGCCTAGATAGCGGCCGCCAATCCGTTGAAGGGAGCCTAAAACTCTAACCAACGAGGCTACCGGGATCATGCTCTGGATCGAGGTTGAGATGTCCGTTTCGAAAGTCGAGAAATAAATGCCAAACAGCACAATAAAGGAGACCGCCACAGCATGCTCAACCACTGCCAATGGCGACGTCGCTAGATCAGGGTTCTCGTAAATCTGACACAGGAATCTGTCCAGTGTGTCCATTTGCATTCCGAAGTGGTGATACTGTGAGGGGGGGTTTGCCGCAGAGTTTGACCGGCTCGAAGGTGATTCGACGACAGCGACTTGAAAGACACCGCATATCGTTTCTATGCTGGCGGAGCTGTCCCAAGTTAGCAAGCTGTCTGAAGCTTCTGTCTTGGAGATTGAGTAACTCTCACCGGGTTAAAGTCTGTGACATTGGGACACGGCATGATGCGTAGGAGTAGGTGGACGCGAACACTTCCGCGCTAGAGACTGAAAGTTCGTGTGCATTGATCTCCTGCTGTGACGGCTTTCTAGGCCCCATGGAACTTCCTTCACTCCACTCCTCTAGCTGGCTACCCTCCTGGACAGGAATTTTGGATATTCGTAGCTTGAACCTGTGTTCCAATGTCCCAATCTGATCAATCCAAGCCGCGAGAGGACAACGACAGTGATTACCACCGTCGGGGGGTTCCGATCCCTGCAGCCGTGGACGCTCAAGACCAATATCCCGGTCTTGGATGTAATAAGGTTTTCCAGGATTGGTGATGGTCCCAAGGCGATCCAACACATATAAACTCCACCAGAGGGCGGTGTCGGCTTGTGATGTTTCGCAACGCAACGCCAGTCTTTGAGTACATGGGTTGCTCTTCTCCATAGAAGATGATTTCACATGGAGTCCAAGAGACTGGGCTTCAGTAATCGCCTGATGGAGATACCAAGTTGAGCGGTGTCCTTCGTCGGGGTTGTCACAGGAAAATGGCATGGCTAGCGACATCAAAGCTAGGATGCGGATGCGGCAGATGCGGTCTGATTCGAGGTTGCCTTCTATCACGGCAGCTCGCAACGCGGTGTACAACTTGAGGTCCAAGGCAGCCGTCAAGTTGCGATAGTCCCCCTCTTGTGACCCTTGGGCACTCCGGACAATTGACTCGCCGACCTGGCTAAGGTGAAATGCATATTCGGGCGAGGAGTCCTGGATATAAGGGGCTGCAGAGGCTAGTCTCAATGCGACCAAGCATATTGCTCTGATTAAATGTGGTGATCCTTTTCCCTCGCGGTATTGCTGTTCAAATATCGCGCGATCAATGAGTGGTAGAAGCGGGTTTATATGAGTGAAATATAACATAACCAAAGCTTGTTCACTTGACCCGGCAATAATGGTGGAATACACCCCCACTGATCTGAAATATTGCTGCCGAAGATATTCAACGCCCATCGTCATTTTGCCTCCTGGGGTCCCTTGATCTTCTGAAGAGGAACTAAATATGAAGACTCCTTTGTAGGTCTGGAGTCTTGGAGAGCTATGGACTGAATGGCAGGCCAAGGTATGAAGCAAAAAGCAAAGAGATAGTATGACAGGTTTGTAGAGAAGAGTAGTAGTCACTTGCGGGAGTCAACAAGTGGTGTAACAGGGCCATAAATTGCGCGGTAAGCGCGCTTTTGCATATTTATTGATAGCAGCTGGAGCCATATCGGTTGCTCACCACCATCCAAACATGGTGATAATTTCGACCTAGAATAGCCCGGTGCCCAGCGCTCGTCTCGATCTAGGTATATAGTCCGATTCAAGAACCAACATCCCACTAGAGAGGGACGTATACAATGATTTATGGGGGACACCTCTAGGAAAGTACAGATCCGTTCCAGCACCATCCCACGCAGACACACACATAACGTGCTCTGATCTATTCCTTCTTCTCCAGCGTCGAATCTACTCTTTATCCTCCTGCCATCACTTTGTCGGCATGCTGTTTCTCTTGGCCCACAACATCTTCACTCACCCTTGATTGATTTGCAGGCTCGATTCCATCTACTGTTTGATCCACAGGACCAGTATAGAACTTTTTACCCTCGATCTGCCAGTAAACCAGGGCAAAGATCATGATGAGACCAAAGATGGCAACCGCGTAATTCATCTGCACAGCACTGGTTAGAGCCGAAAGGGACAAATAGAGATGCACTAGGCATGGCAATGATAAGACTGGAAACCTTACGTTAGCCGCCGTCACCGGCCTGACGGTTGGCATGAAAAACAAAACGGTGATAAAAAGCGTCCAGAAAACGGAGTAGACATTGACCCAGACGCTGAGAGGGCCCAAATGCCAAGGGCCTCGCTGGAAGCGACCGAAAGCAAGCTTGCAGCTGATAGGAACAATGTAGCTCAGGTCAAGAACAGCTGTAGCTACATTGAACACAGCTGAGACCGCTTGATAAGACCCAAGACCAATGAGACTGATGATGATCGGCAGGAGTACAGACAGCCACACCGCATAGAGAGGGATACCAGTGAGCCCATTGACTTTGGCCCAGATGCTGGAAAGAGGCAGCAGCCGGTCTCTTGAAAAGGCGAAGATTGTCCGACTGAGAGATTGCTACTCAGAGATATCAGCAGGATCATCAACCGGTCCACCTGGGCCACACTCACCATACATACGATCGCCGTGAACTGGACGATGATGACGCCACAAGCAGTAAAGGCCAGGGCTCCAGATTTCCCGAGGCTGTCGTAGAATATCTGCACCACAGGCTGGCCTATTTTGTTGGCCAGAACGGCAATCGGATCCTTCTGTTTGAAGTTAGAAGACTTAGAATAGATAAGAATGGGAAGTCCAATCCAATCCAATCCAATCTCCATCGGGTAACTGACCATACAAAAGCAAAGGACAATGTTCAAGACAAGCCCCAAAACCCAGGTCAGAACGTTGGCGTACCAGGTCGCCCGAGGAGCAACGACTGCAGGATTTACGATTCTGGCACCTCACATCAGCACACCCATCGGCCAAGTGTTGAGATAGCTTACTCCTCGCATATGTGTGCAGTGGCATCTGGGTACAATCTATTAGCTCTTGTGAAATGGAACGACAGATGGAACGACCCGTCAGAAGAGTGCTTACCATAGTTTGTCATTGTGAATGCAGCACTCAGAAATCCGAACAAGAAGGCAAACCCCGTAGGATGCCATCCTGATTGCGGCGAGACAGTTGAAAACACGAACGAGGCACTGTTCTTGTTCTTTTCCACTGCCAATAGTGTGATAATGCAGGCAACCACCGCAGTGACATGGAAGACTACAAACGTCTTCTGAATCCTCTCCATCCAGTAGGTCGAGATAGAGTTGATGGCTCCAGTCAGCACGGTGAGGCCTGCAGCAACTCCGATGGTACTCCGTTGTGATGGCTCAAACGTGAAGTCAGAACCGACAGCCACTGCACTCAGCAGGACTTGGGCGGCACCAAATTCAGTAGCGGCAACTGCTGCGACCTATTCCAACATAAGACTGTGTACATCTCGCTCATTAAAATTAAAGGCCGCATGCGTACCTGACCCAGAACATTCAGCCATGCTGCTGTCCTGCACGAGCGGTTAGCACGCGCGGTTTAGGTCTCTTGGAACGAGTAATGCTTGCCAGCTGAGAATAGGAACCAATCTCGGAGGGGATAACCGAGATATCGTGTAATACACCCCAGCAGCAGTGGGATAGGCGGATATAAGCTCAGACACCGAAGCAGACAAGGCGAGAGACGAGGCACCGGCTATGAACCAACACCATACAATGGCTGCCGGCCCGCCAGCCTGAAGAGGGTATGCAAACGTTGTGACCAGGGCGGTGAATAATCCTCCGACACTGAATGCAAACGATAGGCTGGACCAGGTACCATACTTGCGAGCAAAAACGGGGTTATACCCAAACTCATGCGCAAGCTGATCATCTGCCACGGCCAAGGCCATGGCATGCTGGTTCTTCTCCACAGACTCGTGGATCTCAACGTCCAATGCAGACTGTGGGGATGTCATGGTGGTGCTGTATGGACAAAGGGACAAATGGTCGTGGTCTTGCAGGGAGCAGTTGCTGGTTCTGTATCTCTCACGCGCCTTGAGCCAGTGAATTTGATGCCCATGGATGTAATCGGAGGGAATGGAATCTGAATCATGACGAGATATATATGTCTTCATGTCTCTCGGCCTAGAGTGGTCAGACACCTTCATGCTCGTAGCGACTGCCAGCCACGTGTAGGAGAAAGGAAGAAGGTTGCGATAGAGTCGAGGCTGGAGAGAGCCAGAGCTCTCTGTTCATCCAATTAGAGAAGCCAGTTTTCATTCTCCATGTCGGATGCAGAGAGAGCGCGCAGAGCGCGCAGTCCGCGCTTATCAAGGGCACTTCCAGTGGGGCTCAGGGGCTGGGGAGGCCCCTTAGCCCCGGGGCCCCGGCCAGCCTTAGGACCGGCAAGCTTGACACTTCATCGTTTACATAGTTCAACTACAGAGAGCGCGCATGTTTCGGCCAAAGCCTTACCAGACCTGCTATTGACAAAGGGTTCCTAGATACCATTATTACTCTTGATATTTAGACTAAAAAGATGTCAATCTCGTTGGCCTTGAGATAGACTTCCCAGTCCCACCACCGTCTGTGCGTTTGGTTCATCTTGTCGGCAGCTCGCCACCATTGCTCCAAAAACTTGCCAGCTTCTATAATGTTCGCAATTGATGCCCACGATCCATAGCGATCGATTTTGGCTTTGATAAGAGGCCGCTGTGTCGCCGAGTCCGTTGAGACTCCGAACACGAACAGGGGCAATAAGGAGCATGTCTGCGCGCTGTCATTGGCACCAATAGGTTCCAGCAGCTTCAACCCTTCTTGCACAGCCAGCTGCACCTTCTCATTGTCTAAGGGGCTGTGAGGGTGCACCGTGTACCAAAGCAAGATGAATGCCGCGAGTCGATAGGATTCGGCCACATTGGCACTCTGGGTATCGGTGTAAGTGTACTCCCATTCTCGAAGATCAGCTTCAATCGCTAATCCTTCCGTGAGAACATCCATGTCGAGCCCCTGCTCTCCATATTCATCCAGAGGGTGTTCACGATGTAGTCTGATGATGCGGGCCAGAATGGTCAACAACCCATCATGGGGCCCAATCAGGAAGACCTCGGTTTGTGAGGGGTGGGCGGCCTGGTATCTCATTGTCAGGCTTGTGGCTGGCAACGGCGCACCTGCTCCGTTTAAACAGCGACGGTGCAAGTCTATACAAGGGCCATCTTGCGGAGATGTCAGGGAGGAACAGACGTCGTGGAAATAAAACCAGTTGAGCACGAAAATATCAAAGCTTTCGTGGTGGGCTGGGTCGTAGCTGTTATCCTGATAGATTTGCCTGATGAGTTCTCGAGCTGCATTGAAATGCATACGTCTTCCTGCGGACCAGTTTCCTTCGCAAAGACTAAATTGGTAGAGGATCATAGTGAGGATCAAAAGTTGCTGGCGGCCACTCTTTTGTGATTCAGGTGCCAATGACTGCTTCGGCAATTGACTGAGCAATTGGATGTGATGCTTCACGGCTCTGCCATGACGCTGCCATTTCAACTTCTGTATGCCGGCATTCTCGGCGGTATCCCCTCCGCAGCCAGCTGCCAACACTGCGTACTGATACTGGCTTGCGGATAGGCATATGATTGCATCCAAAAGGCCACTATTTCCATCTTGTGACAATGCCAGGGGTATCAGGATCGATACCAATGGGTTGCTGTGCGTCTTCAACAGGAGAACATGAGTCACCACTTTGTGATAATGATCAAAGACTCTGCGCTCGGCCTGTGTCTGAATCCCATCCACGAGAAATGGCAACGGCTGCAAGATGGATACCGACCGTCGTCGGGCATGTTCTGGTGGCGTCACACGCCTACAAAGGCTTGAATCTTTGTCCGTACTGGATGCGGTGCTACTTCTGGATCTGATGTCGGCGAGTTCTTCCGCACTCTCCTGGTGTTCGTTGGTGTGACTGGCATTGGGGGTAACGTGGTCTTCTAAGAGAGCCGCCATAGTGTGACCGAGCCAAGCATTGGCCGTCGAGGAAGGGGAAGTGAGGTTCATCAGATCGTCAACAGTCGGGTCCAACGTTGGACTGGTGAAGAGCAAGTCCTCCCTGAATGCCCCGGATCCTGGAAGCACAAAGTCATTCCAATCATCCACAGCCTGCATGGTTGCTTCGTTCGGTCCAAAGTCCGGGGTCTCTCTTGCTCCGGGCACATCGTTACCCATGCTATGTGCCCGTTGCCACGCCTTTTGTTGCTGGTAGCCTTCGCAAACGAAGCTATTTCGAAGGCAGTTTTGGCATTCTGGCTTTCCCTCGTCGCATTTTTTGCGTCTCCTCCGACAAGTCAAGCAACCGGTCTTGGTGCGCGTGATTTTCTTGGTCCTGGTCGCCATGCGGGTGCTCCAGAGGGTGCACGCGGCGTCGGAGCGCAAAGGTCGCCAGATTTCGCCAGAACTGCTACTGGGCGAGATGCGTGGCCGATTCCAGGTGCGCCCTTCCCGCCGGTAGGTTATGACGATTGGCTGTCACGACGCTGATAATGGACGATTCTGTTGGTTCCGCCTTCCGCCCTCATCTGAAGCTCTCAGAAATATATCCAGGCTTGCTGAAGGAGTGCTTATCAATGGTGGAGACGGCGATGGTGCGTCTCCAAGCTGGCTGTGAGCCATCTCATTGGAGGACGTTTGACTCTCTATCAGCGGCGGGGGAAGCTCGGGGAGCCTTAGGCCTCTATCTACTCCAAAGTCAACATCACATTTTTAGCCTTCCGCCCAAGGCTTAGAGGCTCATATCTCATATCTGTGACGCCTTCTAGTCTTAGCCTTTGCAGACCAGGTCCAACCCCAGATCATCCAGACACTGTCCAATCTCCTTCATTGTTACATAATCCCCGATGACTCTGAACCTACGTAGAAATCGAGTAGTTTTCTACGGAGAGCGCGCTTTGCGCCGTGCTATCGGGAACATTGTTCTCTCAATAGCGCGCTTCTTCATCCAATCTGAGCATCATGCTCCGGTTGTCGGCCATGACGACGCGCGGGCTGCGCCAGTCTGTGGTAAACAAATCAGGATGCCTACCATGGTGAGTAAGGATGATCCAGGCACATATTTCATGCAGATTTGACTCTTCCACATCCAAGTTTCGGCAATTCAGCTGCTATTTTTCTGACGCCGGACTTGCTGATGCTGAACAAGCATTGGACTCGGACTGGAGTGTAACTATCAGACAGGCTCTCTCTTCTCTCTTCCCTCTTCATCCAACAAGTCACCTTAGCATATTACCATTTTTCAAAGCATCGAGATGCTTCCACCACGCTTCCTGGTTGTCTTATTCATTTTGGGTGCAGCCTCTACTCTGATAGCGTACCTGTACCGAGGAATAAGAATTTTCAAAAGCAGCAGGCTCCTGTGGTTCGGTACAGGCAAATCGTGGCCACAGAAGAGGCTTACCTCCCATGAGCTGCCACAGGAATTTCAGAAGATTGAGCCTTACATTGGCTTGCCCATCAATCGACCACCCGATTGGCCCCATCCCTGGAAACCGGGCAAGTTTCAGATGACAATGAGTCTCCGCAAAGTCGACCCGAACAACTGGCTCACCTACGACAGCGCATATGAGAAAGAGCATCTCGACAAACTCAAATACATGAATGGAGAAATGCACGATGAAGTTGTGCAAGTTCTGCCCAATGCAGACGACTCTTGCGAGGAGCTCTTGCAGATTATTGTGGAATACATCACCCGACGCTACCCGGACATGTTTAAGCTCGACGGCGATGACATCGTCATCGTCCCCATGAAGGAGCGATATCGTGTTCGGGCACCATACGACCGGCACCCGATGGAAGTGGCCGGCTTGCTCGTGATGGACGATCTATACGTTCTACATCTGGGAGAGCTAGACCGCTATTATCTGTGAGTTTTCTCCCTCTTCCAGGATAATCGAGCTCTCCATACCCATTGCTAATCACAAGCACGAAAGACGAGCTTGCTTTTTGGCTTGTCCGTCGGGTTGGCGACTGAAAGACCGAATTGGATGGCCGCTGCATCAGATGCACGGTCCTGTTCCCACTTGGAAGGAGAAGCTTCAAAAGTCCATGGAAAAGTAAGAACGCCCAGTCCACTTACCTCGGGGAGGAGGAGTTTACTAACCGCGAAGTGAAGGTTCTTCCTACATATCAAGGTGGACGGCGCGATCCAGCGCAATAACGTCTTCATTCAGCCTTGTCCAGGGATTTTCCACCAGGAGCCCATGGATCAGAACCCGCCCTCCAAAACCGTGGAGGACATAGAGATACGCACAGAACTACAGTCCCTTCGCCGACTCCCTCGCACGGGAGCCGTTGTTTTCACCGTCAGAACCTACATGAATCCGCTGACCGACCTTGGCAAGGAGCCTATGGCGCTCAACAGGCTTTGGGATGCAGTACGCAACTATCCAGACAAGACTGCTGCTTACAAAGTCCGTCACCTATGGACTGACATATTTGAGAAATATTGTTGCAGTATATTGGGACGAGGCAACCCGGACCAGGGACTGTTAGAGGAGCAAGATTGAGTGCTTACCGTGGTAGACGAGAAAATATAGCGATTGGTAAAGATATGGCCCCAGTTGATAAAAACTGGGCGATAGAGTTATTTAGAGGTTATAGTAAAGCAGACCTTTGCAAATGCCGGCATAGTATGAATAGTGCAGTGATTGACATAATCGCTGGGAAGGTTTGGCAAAGTTCGTGATATATGTCGCTATCTAGAGCACCAGGTGTCCTTGAGTTGGTTGAGAATGAAGCATACATGGACTCTGAGATAACAAAGGTCCAAATTTCTCTGCTACAGCCTAGCATGCTATTTCTCAACTTGACCTATCCTATCTTCTCTGATGCTCTGACCCCCGTGACCGACAAACTATGAGCGCCATGTCCATTTTATCAGCCAGGCCAATGGCCCCAGACCCAGCGCACTGAGACAGAGATCGACTAGTAGTCGCCGAAGTCATCAAAAATTGGGTGGGGTTCGCCGTACTAATAGATAGGTCAGTACCAATGTGCATGGAGCTACGTGGCCAGTCTTACCTTGACGGGGTCGTTGAAACGCAGACGCAGGTTCAGCCCGCTGATAGCATCGATCTCATCCTTGGTCAAGTCGAACGAACAGCAATCGAGGTTCTCCGCCAGACGAGCAGGCTTGTTGCTTTTAGGAATCACCGCAATCCCACGTTGGGTGGCCCAGCGGAGGAGGATCTGCGCTGGAGTTTTCCCAACCCGCTTCGCGGCTGCCTGGACCGGGGTCGTCTCGAAGAGAGGCTTGACCTTCAACGCTTCCTCCAAATCCATCTCAACAAAGGAAAGGGGCCCGAATGAAGAGTAAGCGGTAACTGCGAGACCTTGGCCCTGGGCAAACTTGACTAGTCTGGGCTATGTGAGATATGGATGGTGTTCAATCTGCAAGGCGGCCGGTTTGATGCGAGCGTACTTCAGGAGGTCAAAGAGCAGTCCGGCGTTGAAGTTGCACACTCCAATGCTTTTGCAGAGCCCTTTCTCCACCAGCTTTTCCATTGCCTGCCATGTCTCATGGACGGACGCAGGACCTGGAGGGAATTCTGGGCCGTCGGGGGGAGGATATTGCTCCTCGGGGTCGATGTATTTCAGAGACACCGGAAAGTGCATATGGAACAGGTCGAAATAGTCGATCTTCCAGTCTTGAAGCTGTCGTCTGCAGATGGGTTCGACCACATGCGCTTCATGGAAGTTGTTCCACAGCTTCGACACGATGAAGAGATCCTCTCGCTTGACAATGCCCTCGTTGATGGCTCGGGCCACGCCCTCACCACATTGCTGCTCGTTCTCATAGACTAGAAATCAAAGTTATACTTCAAAATCTATACCGGCGTGTCTCGGACAGAACTTACTGCAAGCACCGTCTAACAGGCGATAGCCAGCTTTGATGGCTTGGTAGACCTGTTCCGCACATGTGTCCTTGTCCACCTTCCACAATCCAAATCCCACGGTCGGCATCTTCAAGCCATTATTCAAAGTTAGTTGTGCCATTTTGCTGATAGTGTTGTTTTTCGTGGGATGGGCTTCAAAGAGCAAGTGTAGCTTGTTGCGAGTTCTGTGACGGGCGAGCAATTAGATTCCTCTTAATGTGTGACGGAACAGCTGGACCATGGCGTACAGCGGACGCTCCTTATATAACAATCTCTCCATTTGTATTCTAACAACCTATCCCAAGACTCGCGGCTAAGACTCCGCATTGCAAACATATTGCGCGCAGTGCGCCATACAGATCGGCTCCAGGCTCCATGCCGCTGTCACGATAAGCCGCTGGAGATGAATAAGGCCCTAGCCCCCCGCTCGGCCTGACCGAATCGAGATAGCGGCCGCTTCTCCATCACCATGTAGGTATTGTATCCGACAAGAGTACTCCAACCGCGCATAACGCGCTCCGCGTTGATGGTGACGGTGATCAATTAAGATTACAAAATATACGATGACCATCGTAGCAGGTCGCCAGGTGGTAGTATCGGCCTTCTTACCCAGCTTAGACACGACGCACTGTAAAGGACCATGAAAAATGCGCGAATAACGCATTATCTTGATCGACAAGAAGAGCTCGTCGTTTTCCACTAGGAGAGCCTCCTTTAAATTCAATACTTCCATCATCAGCCTCAATATCCGCAAGTCACAGACCCAGCAGTGAAGTAGACTCTCAGTCTTCCGGCCTCCACCAACATGAAGCCCGTGCATCCCCTCTCAGATCTCAGCTTCGCCGAGCTGCAACAAGCCGTTGAAATCGTCAAGCAGCTCCATGGCCAAACCGAACTCGTGTTCAAGGCGGTCACCCTAGAGGAGCCTCCGAAAAACCGTGTGATCAAATACTTGCATGCTGAGCAGAATGGGCTGTCTCTGCCACAGATACCTCGAGTAGCTTTTGCCGCTTACTATTTCAAGGGCACGGTATGTTCGCTTGCCCTCTGTCTAGATGTCCACCTGGACCTAACAAACTGGGAACCAGGATACTTTTATCACAACGTACGTCGATCTCAGCTCAGGTCTCGTAGAGAGGACTGAGCGCATGGGCCCAAAGTACCACGGGAATGTGGACTTCAAGGAGGTTGTACATGTTGAGGGGATGGTGATGAAGAATCCAGCTGTTATTGAGGAGATCAAGAAACTACAGCTGCCTTCTCATCTCATGGTAATCCCCGAGGCTTGGGGGTTCGGCACTGATGGAGTGGATGACGCAAAGCGACTATACCAGGTCTATATGTTTGTGGGCGAGAAGTCTAACCCTGACAGCAACCATTATGCTCGTCCGCTGGCCTTCTCTCCAGTGGTTGACCCGGTAAAGATGACAGTGATACGCATCGATCAGATCCCAACTGGCCGAGACTGGAAGACCAGCGATACCGCGCCATGGCGCTACGTTCCTCCGAACGAGTATGTGCCAGAGGAGACGAATCTCCGCAAAGACCTGAAGCCTCTGCATGTTGTCCAACCGTCCGGCCCCTCCTATGCAATCAATTCCGACAATGTCATCACATGGCAAAAGTGGCACGCCCGCATTGGCTTCAACTACCGAGAGGGCGTCGTGCTTCGGGATGTCCGTTATGACGGTCGTCCCATCTTCTACCGCATCAGTCTCAGCGAGATGACGGTTCCATACGCCGATCCGAGGTCACCATACCATCGGAAGCAGGCGTTTGACCTGGGTGATGTCGGTGCCGGCCTTGTTTCGAACAACCTCAAGCTTGGCTGTGACTGTCTAGGTGCCATCACCTACCTTGATGGGCTGCTCGTGTCCCCCGAAGGCCAGCCGGTGGTCAAAGAGAATGTGATATGTGTACACGAACAGGACAATGGTATAGGCTGGAAACACTCCAACTATCGTACTGACCGTAAGTCCGCCGACATGGCCGTACATGTGCTGTGATGCCTTTCCTTTCTGGCCAGAGCCTAAACCGAATGACTCCAGGTGCGTGTGTGGTTCGGAACCGCGAGCTTGTTATTCAGCAGATATTGACCGTCTCAAACTACGAGTGAGTTGACCGATAGCTACCAGTATTGTTCTAGTGTGTGACTGCTCCCCTTGCTAATCACTTCACCTTCACGCGTGAGCAGATATATACTTGCCTTCATTCTCAACCAGGCCGGGGAAGTTCACTACGAAGTTCGTGCAACCGGAATTCTATCCACCGCTGCAATCGATCCTGGCTGCTCAGTGCCGTGGGGCACCATCGTGCATGACGGTGTTCTAGCCCAACATCATCAACACCTGCTCTCCCTCCGAATCGATCCCGCCCTGGGCAGTTTCACGGACGGCAATCGGCTCGCGTATTCGGAATGCTATGCCATGCCAATGGATGATTTCAACCCACATGGCAATGGCTACATCTCAAAGACCACCCTCGTCGAAAAGGCCGGCGGGATCGACCTGGACGCCGCGACGAACCGTGTCTTTATGATCCAGAATGCCCAAATACTCAACCCAGTGAACAAGCTACCGATCGCATACAAGATCCACGCGCCACCTATGCAGAAGATTTTGGCTCATCCGGACAGTTACCACTTCAAACGAGCTGAGTTTGCAGACCACAATATCTATGTCACCAAGTACAGACATGATGAGCTCTTCTCGGGAGGAAAGTACACGAACCAAAGTAAGTATTATCCAAGTGTGTAGGAGAACGTTTACTCCATCCACATTTGAGATGGGCGTTGTTAACCAGTTAATATGGCTGTTTAGGTCGCGGTGGAGAAGGAATCACAAGCTGGGTAGCACGCGGTGACCATGTCGTCGATGAGGACATTGTGATTTGGGTGCAATTTGGTCTGAACCATGTCCCCCGGATCGAAGACTTTCCAGTCATGTAAGAACCCCGTCGCGACGGCCCATCCCTACAGCGGAGAAAGCTGCCGCTTGATGCTCAACCATTGTTTGGTCCCTCAAACTGCCTCACTGACTGTTTGGATTTTGGATAGGCCTGTCGAAATATTGAAGGTGTCACTCAAGCCGGTCAACTTCTTTGAGCGAAATCCATCCGTCGACGTGCCTCCCTCGCGGCAGGAGTTCAACTTGTCGACGCTAGTAGATCATGGCGCTGTTACCACGAGATGTTGCGACGGAGATGTAAGGCGCGAGTAGAGGCTCTATCTGAAAATGCCGACGAATGCTACGGCTGGTGTCTATGGTATATGTTGTCTTTGACAGCATTTGTCGAGATCGATATCGTGACTGTAAGTTAAGTTGAGGTATGGCGACATCTCCATGGTATTTGAAAATGGACAATATCAGTATACGTTAGGGCCGGAATGCGACATTTGTACACAGGTTGGCGAACAATCTGTCTCTAGATACTTGTATGTAGTCGTGTACCAGTGTTTTTAGGGCGAGTTATTGTGTGCCCAAGTCATCGTCCATAATATCTATGGAGACTCCGATGGTTTCTCTACGATCTTCTCGTCCTTGTAGAGACAAGAGACACCCAACCAGACATTGAGGTGGATTCGTCCCTTTACCGAACTCTCTCCGGTGGCTTTGATGATCCAAATGGCATCCATGACTAACTATACATTTGTCATGGCGAATATCTCCCTATATTGCCTTCTCTCCATCTCTTTGCTCTCTATTCCAGCCTAACCGACAACAGCCTCGGCTTGAATCTCGACATGCATACCAGAGATCGCCAGGGTTGGAGTCCCAATGGCCAGCAGAGCCGGTCTGGTATCGGGATATCGTCTCTTGAAAATTTCCATGAGAATTGGCTCATTTCTAATGTCGAGATAGAAGATGGTCATCTTATGAGCGGTGGCCAATCCACCTGAGGCACCCGCTGCCTTCAACGCGGAATCGACAGTGTCGAACGCCGCCTCGATCTGGTCCACCAACGAAGAGGTTACAAGCTTGCCGGTCTTGAGGTCAATCCCCGGCTGGCCGGCGGTGACTGCGATACGGCCATTGGTGGGAAAATTGACCGATTGAGAGTAGCCAGCATTTTGGGCCTCGATGCCCCAAGGTCCAGGGGTCTGGAAGTATTGAGCTTTGGGAGAAGACATGGGAGGTGTGGAGAGCTGCCAATAGTGTGCTGATATCAGCAAACAAGTACAAGCCCCAGCTTGGAAAGTGTAGATTTGTAGTGAACTTCGGGCTGTCGATGTACAATCAGACTACGGTCAGAATATATAAGTAGTTTACGGTACTGGACGTTCACCCTTTTCAAGTATCACAACTCTATGGCCGCATGATAGTTGCTGTGGGTCCACTGCTGTAACGAGCGAGCGCGTTAAGCGCGCGTACCGCTCTACCGGCCGAGTACCCGTACAGCTCAACTCGATGGAAAACGGTTCGAGACACTTCTTGAAATGTCGTACATGTAGATGATATTACTGTTGAGGCCCTGAGAGCACTCCATGCGGGCTGTATCAAGTTGCCGAGGTTACAAAGTTGGTATCGGCATGGCGCCCCATTCACTGCCACCGAACTTACAAGTAGGCGTCAACCCAGCTTGTGCTTGGCTTGCGCTTGGATCGCCTGTATGCAATGAGATATATCAGCTCATCTCTTTCTTCGGTCTCGGGTCTAACCTACAGTAAGCACGGAACATGGCGGCGCCTCAGCCTCAGCCTCAGACTTTCACATTCACACAGGTTGGGTCTCTCTCCATCAAATTGGATATCTACCTCACCCCCTCGCCGGCAGCCGATGCCCCGATTCTGCTGTGGTTCCATGGCGGTGGTCTAATCCAAGGGTGCCGAGCGAGGTATGGACCGCACACCGTGGCCAGCGTTCCCAAGTATGGCCACGTCCCGCTCTCGCCGGACTACAGGCTCGCTCCCCAGGCGACCTTGGCCGAAATCCTGGCAGATGCGCTGGATGCGTTGAATGGGCCCGAGGGGAGCCCCCTCACCACATCTCAGCCTCAGCCTCGGGGATCACAGTAAACACCCGGCGCATCGCTATCTCTGGATCATCGGCCGGCGGTTACCTCGCCCTGCTTGTTGGACTTACCAAAATGGCCCCCAAGGTCGTCCCGCCAATCTACCCCATTACCAATCCGTTCGGAAAGTTCTTCGCCACGCCTCAAACCCATTCCAGATGGACAATCTCTCGATGAGAGTGGCATCGGCCAATTCTTGGACCGAAACGCCGCACAGGCGGCCTAGAGACCGTTCATCCGCGCGGCAAGCGCTGTACCTCTATATGCTGAAAGAGGGAAATTACGCATCCTTGTTGTCGGTCACCCCTGGGAGGATACATACGTCGTTGCCGAACAACTGAGAAAGAAAGGAAGCTTACCGCCCACGTTCATTGTAAATGGGGGCGCTGACCGCTTTGTTGGGGTGGGGTAATCCGACGAGGTGGTCAGGGCGCTGGAAGATATCGGAGCGGAGTATGAGTACGAGAGACTCACGGGCGTGGACCACCTATTTGACAAATTCGAGGGGATGGATCTGAATTCGTACTACGCCTTCTTGAACAAGCATATCTAGCGAGTAGAGACTCAGGTCTCCTTAGGCCCCAACACAGCCTGGGCGACACTTAAAAGCCATGATCGATCACGCAATGTGCTCGAGTGATGGTGAGACGAGATATAGGTCCACCCCTGATAAGAATCTATCGCTGAGTCCATGTTGAAATAACATCGCACAACCAAGAGACCGCGCGAGCCTTGCTGTGTGGTGAACGTAGCGGTACAGTATTTTTCCCAGAATGGCGACCAAGTACAAGCGTGTTGCGGTCATCGGCGCTGGGCCTTCCGGTGCAGCGACTGTGCGAGCGCTGGCGCAGGAAGGCGTGTTTGACACGATTCGAGTGTTCGACCAGCGGCATGAAGTGGGAGGGACATGGTGAGTCTTGTCTCTTGTCTCTTGTTACTCATCACTGGTCACTCCCCGCGGGTGTCGCTGCTGATATCTCTGTCTCAGGGTCTATGATGAAGTTCCCGACGAGTTTCCCGTGCCACGACCGGCCGCTGAGGAGAAGATCCCCGTCCCGGCCAACCTCCCTGCCCTGACCGCTCCTGCTCCACCCGATCCCACGGTTCGGACCGGCCTGTACCAGCACCTGGACAGCAATGTTGGAGCCGAAATCATGTCCTTTACGTATGCACCGTTTCCGATGATTAACTCGGCGTTCGGGGTCTCAAGATATGGTCTGAACAATCCGACGCGCCCTTGGAAAGTGGTCAAGAAGTACCTGGAGGATTTGTTCGCACCCTATCTCCAGTACCTGTCTTTGAATACCCGTGTCGAGAAGATTGAAAAAGTCGACGATAAATGGCTTTTGACTCTTCGGCGCTCCAACCTCGTCTACCAGGGAAAGACGCATGACTTCTGGTGGCAGGAGACCTTTGACGCCGTCATTGCCGCCACCGGCCACTACCTCATCGCAAACATCCCCGACGTTCCCGGTCTGGCCGAAACGGCGCGAGCCTTCCCCTCCAAGTTCGAACATTCCAAGGCGTGGAGGTCGGCGAACAACTACGTCGGTAAAGTAAGTTCTTCCTCCGGCCAGTGTGATCGTGACCATACGTGTATTGTGGTGCTTTGCTGACCACAATACTCTGTAGCGGGTGGTCGTGGTCGGGGGTAACGTGTCTGCAGCCGACATAGTGGACGAGCTTTACTCTGTCGCCCAAGCGCCCCTGATCGTCTCGCAGCGAAGTTCAAATGAAGCGCTTGAAAACGTGTTCAATCTGCCGAATGTGGTTCGAAAGCCTGGGATCAAGAGTGTATCTCCAGAATCTGGCGGAACGGTCGAGTTTGCCGACGGCAGCAGAGTCCAGAACACCGACAAGGTCATTTTTGCCACGGGTTACAAATTGTCGTACCCTTACTTGCCGTTTCCGGCCGTGACCCCTGAAAACAGGCTCGCAGGTTTCTATCAGCATATTTTCAACATTGGAGACCCGAGTCTCGCGGTCGTCGGACAGGTACGTGCCCCTCGGTTTGGCCAGAGGGTTTCGATCTGGTCGAATAACTTGTTCCTAATCCATCCCAGGTCAAAGCAGCTCTCAGCTTCAGGGTATACGAGTATCAGGCGGTGGCAGTGGCGCGCTTTTTAGCAGGTCGATCGAAACCGCTACCCAGCGTGGAAGAGCAACGCCGATGGGAGGAGGACCGAATTCGCTACAAGGGCAGTAACAACCGCTTCCACGAGATCAAGCCCGATCTGGGGGAGTATTTCAACGGGCTGAAGCAGTTTGCAGGCCCGCCTGCAGCTGGAACCGATGCCTACGATCTGCCTGCCTTCCAGGACGACTGGGCTGAGAAGGGGTTCGAGATCCTTCAATTGAAGGATAAGTATTGGAGGAGCCTCCGAAAGGAAAAGGCTCCGGCTACTATTATTACTACTTCGAAACCGAAACTATAGGTCTCCTAGACCAAAGATATCATGAATAGAGGATAGAGAATAGAAAAGACTTCACTACAGTGCCACCGGGAGTGCCCGGAATCATGTCAATCAATACCTTGGCACGGCATATTTATAATATTAAGCCTCGCGCACGGTTATCAAGTTGAGCTGCATTCTCCAATACGGACTCCCCACGCAAGGCAGGCCAGGCTGTCACCGGGAGCCTTAGGCTGAGGAGGCCCGTGCATGACAAGATCAGAACCCAATATTACCAATATTGCGGGGGAAACTATTGACTTGGGCAGACCTTCTTAGATCTAACATTGAAGTTTAGAAACTCCCATAGAGTCTCGCCGGCTATGACGACACTGCACCGGTATTCAGCGCTGAAGCTATATATGAGGTCCCATTCAATGAAATGTATCGTCGGACTAGGACAATACTCCTCTCCTCGTTGTGCTAGGTAGTTACCGGTCGGTAATAGGCAAGAATGGATCTATTCTACGCCCATTTTCTGCTTTTCTGCCTATGTCTTGCCTCTGTCGCCCGCTCTCAGTCGGTAACATCGACCTCGACGACCTCGACTCCGACCTCAACTAAGACCACGACTGCCTCCACTTCCATTGAACCATGTGCTCAAGTTAGCAGTCGGATCAGTTCTTCGCTGGCAGCCGATGCTTCTGGTAAGGGAGGAACTTAGTCGACCTGTACAGGGTCTCCATCTCACCGCTGACATTTGCCGTTACAGCCACATCGTTTCACCTCCCTCCTCAGCTGGCGCGGGATTGCAGTCTTTCGGTTCCCATTGTCAAACAAGATGCATTGGATTTGGTCGACAGTCTCTCGGCATGGCTGGAATCGCAATCAACGCTGGCATATTTGAAAAATCCTCCCCAAGGATACCTCATGAACAGCGTAGATCTACTGGGTGGCTTGGAGGACATTCGCAACAAAGTCAGCAATGGCTCATATAGCGGAGAGGTCCCATTTCAGAATGAGATAGCCAACCTGGTTGCATCTGCTCATGACGGTCACCTGGCATTCATCCCTGATACCACCTTCATCTTCCTCTATGAGAGAACGATTGGCAATCTTCTCTCTGTCTCGTTGGATGGCAATTCCCTGCCTGAGATTTATTCCTACAGTAAGTCTGCTACAAGCCCTATCCCTGATCGACCACGCAGAAGCAGAAGCAGGCGCTCACATTTGGTTGGCATTAGACGACCTAGCATTGGCACACAATACCACTCTGAGTTGGAAGCCATCTCCCCTCAGAATCATTGATGGCCAAGACGTGCTTTCGTGGCTGAGATATCAAGCCCTCAATACAACTGCTGAGAACCAAGACCCCGATGCAGCGTAGGTCAAGTTCTTGAGTCGGTTGGGTGATTCGAAGTTTCCGCTTTCGCTAACTATTCCCAGCTGGAATGCCATGTTCTATGAGCTGGTCAGTCCGGTCGGCACGTTCCCGTTTGTAGTCAACGGATTTCCAGGCACATCCAACAATGTCACATTTGCCAATGGGACAAGCCGTGTTTTCCCCATCATTGCCTCGACCGACCAGGATTTCACGAATGTGACGGACGGAAAGTCGTTCTATCAGGCATTTTGCAACGCCACGGTCAAAATGGACCTTGCATCAGCATCAGCGGCTGCAACTGCGACCACAGTTGCGTCGTCTTCGTCTTCATCGTCGACGTCCACACGCACACCTCAGCCCTCGGGATCGAACCCCGACTTCTCGAAACCAGGCTTTCCCAGCCCCGTCGTCTCGGACGGTGACAGTACCCTGGCTGGATATTTCCTCAATGCACCGGGATACGAGGGTACCGCTGTCCTGTCAGTGTTTAGTTTCGATCCCGCCGATACCCAGTCATTCATCGACGCCCTGACCTTCTTTTTGGACGAGTGTCGCCGAGAGAATAAGACTCATTTGGTCATTGACGTGTCCGGCAACGGAGGAGGTAACATCCTGCTTGCGTTTGAGACGTTCAAACAGCTGTTCCCCAGCGTGGACCCATACCTCACATCGTCACGACGAGCGAATTCTCAGTTGGAGGTGTTGACCAAATTCTTTTCCACCTTTTCCACCATGACACGAGAGAACGTGACGGCGTTCCTCGATGCCGGCGGTGACAGCGATTACGATGCGACATCTCTGGACAACTCTGCCGGGCAGGCATACGCGACGTGGAAGGATTATTGGCACCCATTCGAGGTGCACAACGACAGCTTCACCCCCTTGGCGCGGTACAACCTGTCCAATGTGCTGGGGTCAGAAGTTTCCGACGGCCTCGTGGTGTCCGGCTATGGGAACAACACGGGATCCTTGTCACCGCGACAGCCATTTCCATCCGAGAACGTGATCGTCGTCACCGACGGACAATGTGCTTCGAGTTGCCACTCTTTCAGCCACATGCTCAAGTGGCAAGGCAAAGTCAAGACCGTGGCGGTGGGAGGGAGACCGCAGACAGGCCCCATGCAATATGTCGGAGGGGTCAAGGGGAGCGAAGTGACCTATCTCGCCGACGTTTTGCAATACATCGACCAATTCTACACCACGGTCACCGATCACGACACCATCAAACAAGCCAATCGCACTGGCCTGAAGACGTTGCAGGACTTGGGCAACTACTTGCTGTATCGCACCGTGGAGCCACAGACATCATCGTACGCGTCCATCAACTTCAACAACTTCATCAGCCAATATGACTGGTCGTATACCCCTCTGCAGTTCGTTTATGAGGCCGCCGACTGCCGGGTCTGGTATTCTCTGGACATGGTCTTTGATATCACTGCCGTCTGGAAACGTGCGGCCCAGGAAGCGTTTGCCATAGGACCAAATTCTACCCATGTGTTTGCTGGCTGTATCCAGGGAAGTACAAATGCGTCGAGCAGTCTCAGTGGGAACGTGACATTGTTCAACAGTGGAAAGGTGGCGAATGTCACGACATTTGTTCCGAGCACCTTCACCAAGGATGCCAATCAGACTGAATCGAAGAGGAGCGCACCTGTTGGCCGTTATCGGCGATGGTTTGGGAGTTTTGGTTAGATGGTCACCTATGGGTTAGGGTTGATCGGTTCTTTCAGCATCTAGGTAATAAATGGAAGGCCTTGGAAGGCGGCTTAATCAGATCATACCGATACGACGGAGGGGAAGGGAAGATGAAATGAAACCCTAAAAGATAGACATTGGCGATGGTGACGGTGATGACAGATGGTAGATGGATCCATTAGTGTGTGGCTCGGCCAACCCTTTGCATCTGAACATGTCATCTCGAACGCCGTCATGTGCCATATCAACAATAACGTTCCAGTACCAGTAGGACCATGCTCGGCAGAAATACCTGGTTAGTACAGGTGAACTTTACATGAGAGAGTTACACTATACGACCCGACTAATCCTGCCTATCTCCAGCACTGGGTCGAAATATCTGCCCAGTTCACCTCGACGCAAGAACTGCTCCAGCACAGCACTGAATCATTGTCTCCACCCACGTTCGACCACTCAGACTGGCCGCCCCCTTATCTCCCGGGCGGATTACATATTCCTGCAATAGAGGCGGCCCTTTGAAGACTTATTCAGATGGCACAAGCCCCAGATAGATATAAGCTATAACTCGAGGGTGATACGGGACAGATTCTGCCACGTCTCCGATCTTCATTGTCTACAAATTGACACGACCATGTCCGAGTCTCTGCAGCCGTCTCCCAGCGGATTCAAAGGTACTCAGACGTTCTTGGCCCTTACTCAGTCAAGCCACCACACCTCAGCGTGAGCGAGGAGAAACACTCTGCTCCGAGACCAGATCATTTCCCTGCAATGCCATCGAGCCACAATTCACCCATGGAGCGCTTCGAGACCCAGGTGTGTTCTTCGACAACCTCAAACGGCAAGCTGCAGATTCTCCATGACTGGCAACATACACACCGCTAAAGTATGAATAGTGCCAACAACATGTGCTACAAGTCACCTCGATATACCATCCCAAGTATCGTCTCCGTCTCCTCCCTCGAACCCGGCTACCTTTCTTCCTGAAACCGAGGGAAAGGTTGCCACACGATATCACCAACAGCAACAGCAACAGCCTGTCAGGGACAGGGCCACCGAGGCTGTATCAGGTGGGCCGCCGCCCAGGCGTGCTGAGGATATGCTTCAAGACCTCCCTTTGCCAACGAGAGAGTATCTAATGGACTTGTTCTGGCTCCACTACAACAGGTCCATGAATTTGGTGGACAAAGAACTTTTCTACAAAGCTCGGAACAGTGGAGACACACAATTCTACTCGGATCTCTTGCACACGTCGATGCTAGCTATGGGGTTTCGCTTTGGAGACACAAGCCGCGATGATATCCGAGGACTGCAGCACGGTGTCAAATCGAGCCTGATCCACCGATCATTAAGGCTTCTGGTCGAGTATGGCTGCGTGAAATTGGATGCCTCACCCTCCAGCATTCACTTCCTGTTGATTCTGGGAGATCTGGAATTCGGAGTGGGCAAAACAGGTTCAGCCTGGTTCTATTGCGGTAAGCTCAAGAGAAATTGTACAAGATCCAAGATCCCAGATCCTTATGGGTACAGAGTACAGGGTACAGTAAACTTCCGATTCGATGCCAATCATTTCTCATTTCTAGGATTTGCCTCCCTTTTGCTCCGCCATGGACTCCACAAAGAACCTTCAGGGACGCAACTGCTACACTCAGACGAATGTCAAGCCCTCCTTGCAACAATCGTGGCATGCACAGCCTATGACTGGTATGTGACGTGGGACGTTCAGAGTTTCCGGACCTTCTCCATCCCCGCGACGCCAGCAAGCTGACGGTACAACAGGTTGTTTTCCAGATGGCTCGACCGGCCAACCAATCTCAGGGTGAGCGATCTGGAATGCTTGCATGCGACGATGAAGGGGCATTTTAGTGAGCTAGCATCATTGCCATTGCCACCAACACCCAGCCCGCCCGAGAGCACGATTGAGGAACTCGGCCGCAAGACCCTGCTTGACCTGTTGCTGTTTACCAACAAGGTCTTGGAGCTCATGGAATGCGCCCCGTCCACGACCCTCTATCTGTCAGCAATCAGCATGGAAAACGAACTTGAAAAATACTGGTCGGATTGCCTTGTGCCGGAGTTGAGGTGGACGGGAAACACAGCCAGTGTAGCATCGCCGACCTTTTATCTTATGCAGTAAGTTGAGAGACCCCCTCCTCAAAATGCAAAATTGCAGGGGTACGTTCCAAGGCTGACTTGATGCATTTTATCTCGATCCAACAGCTCACACTCCTACTACCTCCGTACTCTTCTATCCCGAATTTCCGTTCCGCAGCGCAATTTCGAGGGTAGCGATTCCTCTATCGCAGCAACGGCTTCAGCCACTGCCTCACTCAGGACTTGCCACCCGCCGTATGTCGCCGCGTCCTGCGTGAGGTATGCGAGTGCCATTGTCCAGATCCTCCAATGCAGCAGGAAGATTTGGAACAAAGATCCCGTCTCACCCCCCATAATGGCACTAGGACATGGAAAAGTGGCTCTACAGATTCTCTCTGGAGCCATGGAGCAAACGTCCAGGCCATTGTTGAGACATAAAATGCTTCGACGGCAGGTCAATGTTCTCTTAGACATCATCCGAGATCTCTCCCGGTCCTACGTGCCTGCCGAGTTGATGGCAACCCATGGAGGCACCTCTGGAGAGGATCAGGAGGCTCGGCAGCGACCTCCTGCAGGAGGATCGGAGGTCTCTCACCCAGGCCATTGAACTCAAAGCAAGCACCGTTGTTGCTGGGGTGGTAAAGAATGACCAGCCTTCGTTGTGGAAGGCCAAGAATCGTTGCAGAGGCGACGTCCCCGATTTGCCTCCTTATAACCAATAGGATTCATCCTTCTTAGTCACCTCCGTTCAAGAAAAATCCGTCGGATGTGATGGCGAAAAGACAGACAGTAGTTCCCGCCAGATGCTACAAGTACAGGTACAAGAGATGGAGATGTTGGCTATTTCACCCATGAGCATCTTGAGGAGCGATCTGCAACGTTGGAATCTCATGAGCATGTGAAGATAAACTTCTTGCTTCTTTCTCCAATTCGATAAAGACGAGACAAAGTGGTCAAGGCAAGCCTAAGCCCAGCACCAATACTGCTGATGTACCTCCATTACTCCCTTCCACATTTGGAAATCCGGAAGCGTCATAGACATAGATTGATGATCGAGACATTATGGCACAGAGAAAGAGAAGGGGCCTGAGGAGGAGGGCGAAGTCGCACGATTCCCAAAATCCCTTCTACTACTGTCGTACGCCCCACGCAGGTCTGCGTAGACCTGCCAATACCGCGGTCCAACAATCCAATTGTTCAGGTCGCGGATGTGCGCCTCGAAGACCGGGTTCAAGAAGTACCGCTTCGAGGCTAGGCCTGGCCCAGTGTCCTCTAGGACAAGCGTGTTGTCCGGGTAGGGCCAGTTCACGGAAAAGGCGAGGGAAAAGGCATCCGAATAGTCGTCAAAAGTGACTTGGCGGTAGTTATTGATCAGGTAATTGCGCACGTAGGGCCTGAGTTCGCCACCACTCGTTAGGTCAAAAACCAAAACAGCGAAAGGATCAGTGTCTTCAAGTTTCGCACGTGTTTGGGGCAATGCACAGCAATGCTACTTTTCATTTCTGCACATACCACTGTATACGGTCAATCCACGCCGGGTGCGGGACCTCGAGTTGAGTCTTGGTGGGACGGAGCCAGCGTGGCATTCGTTCAAAGGACTCATGGGTCCCGTAGATAAGCCACTAAGTAAACAAGGTCAGTTTCGGAAACGAATCCGCGGTTGTTTGTGTGCAAGATGGGACATGAAGACGAAGATGGAGATGGAGATGAAAGGGAAGGGAAGGGAGTTCGCACATTCAACACGGTCGATATGACATAGAGACAGGCAAGTTTCTTTGGGAGTGTGTCAATTTGAGGGTATGTTAAGAGAACGTCGCCGGCAACTCTCGTGATGGCAGTTTGGATTACCGCTAGCGAGGCGGGGGAAGTCGATTTCCACGATGCTGTTGATGCTGATGCTGATGCTGATGTGGCACCTGTCGGAATCTCTCGCACCAGCAGCTGTGTTTCGTGGATGAAAGGCTGCATGATTCGGTCGCTGGGGCAAGTTGGTGGAACGTGCAAGGGCAGCTGGAGACGGTCGGCTTCCCGTCCCTGTCCTAGAGGTAGCGTCGGCGATTGAGAGTGACTGTCCCAGGGGGAGGGGGCCAGGGCTGTGGCGGTTTCCAGAGGCGGCGAGAATGGCGAGGACACTAGATCGGGCGATGCTAAAGCGGCCAGGACAGAGAAGTCGACACAGAAGGAATTCGTTCTTTTCCACCGGATCATGCCTGCTGGGTCGGGCAGAAGATCGGATCGAGCCTTCTTCTGTCTCAATTCGGCCAGTTGTCGCCTCAGCTCATCATTCTCGTCCATGCATCGCAACAAATCCCGGGAGAAGCTGCCCTCGCGCTCGGTCAGGTGGTGCATCAACTCAGTAAATTGTTTCCTCAACGTTTCCACCTCGCCTTTGGCCCGATCTCGCATGGCTTGCTGTGCCCGTCTGTCCCGGGCTCTCTTGCGGGCCAGGCTTGCAGCCCGCTTCGATTCGGTGTCCACATTTGATCTGCTCGTTTTGGGTGCTCCCATGATTGCTAGCTGCTAGACGATTAGTGTTGACCCGAGTGTAGGCACCAATATGATTTTGTGACGATGGAAGAAGGTAGGTGCAAGTAGAGTTTGGTCAAAAGCGCTAAGAAGTCCCTTTGTGCTGCTGCGCACGGAAAGCAGGTGGTAATCCCCGTGAAAGGGAAAGCAAGTGACGGGAACGCGATTGGAGGAAGGGACAAAAGCCATGGTGGCTTCCTTCTGTGCTTATGAGCAGCTTGACGTTGAAGATTTAAGTTTAAGGATTGCTTGCGCCAGATCAATGAAGTCGATGGTGACAGGGGCGATCCTGGTGGGTGGTGACACATCAGAGACCATGAGTAGAGGAGCAAGTGCCAATAGTTAATAGCGGAGACCAGGGGAAAAGGGAGAAACCGGGGGCCGGGGAAGGATGGCGCAAGGGTGTGCAAAAGGCTGTTTTTACGATTCAACGAATAGTGTACGTATGTGAGCCTCCATCCCGCTCATACGTAGTAAAGCTTAATCTTCCATGATTTTTGAAATCCACACAAGCTGTCATGATCGGCAAAGCCTAGAGCCAGACCAGGAGATGCTGCTCCGGCTCCCGAGCGGATATCAGGCCGAGACTCATCGAGACTCTGGCTTGTTCTAGAAGTTCGAGTCAGGCCAACGATTTAGCGCCTTCAGCTCCCCAGGCCTCTACCAGGGTATCGGATAGCACGGACGGCCCATGCCGCAACAAAGCGTCCGTATGGCTCTTCTCAAGCACCATCCATCTGCGCTCAGCGTGTAAGGACTGACTGTTACATGTCTCGGCCCTGTGAATTGTCGTCGATTACTGCTAGCCGGCTGGGAACAGGACCATCTCGATTCATTCTGGCCATGAGAATGTCGGATGATTGGATTTCTTTGCACCCGACTGATGATTGATGACTGGGTGACAGATCCGTATTAATAACTACCGATTCCCCAGATGAAGGCATTCATACGGCATTTCAAAGGAGGGGTTTGAATCCCATGCTGTTCTGTTTCCAGTGAACCTTAACCCTTATAGGTTGGTGGCTTCCTCATCTGTCTTCCTACACGCCCTCAACTGTCTTCCTACACGCCCTCAACTTTGGGTTGGACCTTCTCCTGGGCTTTCTTTTTCTCTACCACCGCAATATCCTTACCGTGTAATCTTCTGGCCACTACAGTGTTGAAATATTTTTCCATGTTCGGGGTGGCAATTGCAGAGAGTGTAGAAAGGCCGCCGAACGCCAGGGATGCAAGGTAGACCGTCTTGAAACTCTGGGAGTATGCAATTTTGTAAGCTATTGAAGCTGCTGCCCCGATGCCCGGGGTCAAATCAGGGACGGCAGTGAAGTTGCCTGTTCCTAAAGCAGTGATCAGCTTTGGAAGTTCTGATGCTGGTAGGCCGGCGTCCAAAGCTGCGGGTCGAACGTATTTCGAAATGTTTGTTGTCAGCTTGTTGTTCAGAATCGTGGCATAGATGGCGGTCGCAATGGCACCCGAAGCCGATCGAAAGGCGCCAGCCACCCCAGTGGCCAGGCCCAGATCTTCCTGCGGAAGACACAAAGGAGCTGTAGTAAGCACCACCAGCTCGACGTATCCCACCGCAAAGGAGCCCAGTGTTGTCATGGCTGTGGCGAGTGCCCTTGTTGAGGAATCAGCCGCAGCCAAGCCCCCAATGAAGCCTGTCATGGCGACAGAGCCGACGATCAGTTGCCACTTGTGTTTTCCAAGAGGATGGCACAAGAGAGCCCCAGCATATTGGCCGGCCAAAGTACCACCCCCCACGGTCATTGAGAGCCAGCCGATGTCCAGAAGGCCGGTCTCGTAGAGCTTGGCGACCTCAGTGGGCCACAGGACATTTGCTGAATAGTAGATCATAGCTCCCACACATCCGACTAGGGCAGTGGTCACATAAGGCAAGTTCCTGAAGAGCCTCATAGGGATGAAAGGGTATTCGTGAGGCATATAAATCTCTGTCCATTTTTGTCAGAAAGGAAAACACGACAGCAAGGACGATCCTTACCGTAGAAAAAGAAAGCGACCAGGGAGACAACACCACCGATCAGAGAGCCGATAACCTCACCGCTCTTCCAGGGATGGCTTTGACCACCCCAGGACATGCCTAGAAGGAAGAGGGCGAGGCCGAGAGAGAACAAAATTGCACCGCCAAAGTCAAGCGTCTTGAAGAGCTTGAACTCCTTCAATCTCCTCGCATGGAGCTGTCTATACGTCGGTGGGTGATAGAAGAGAAAGTACAGGCAGACGACGATGCCAGACATGATAATGTTCAGATAATAGCTCCATCGCCATCCTTGGGAGGTGTGCAGGACGAAGCTGCGTGCGACAACAGGGCCAAAGACAGAGAAGGGAACTGCTGTGACCAGAATGAGACCGTTGGCAACACCACGATGTTTGTTGGGAATGAGCTCTCCGATGATGGTGGGAAACGAAAGCTGAACCGAGGCCGCCAACCCAGCCAATACACTGGAGCCGATGAGGGTAGGGATGTTTTTGGCCGTGGCACCGACGACAGCGCTGAGCAGACCGATGACATTGCCGCCGATGAAAAACCAGCGACGTCCATAGATATCGGACAGCCGGCCGACTAGAGTGTACCCGATCGCAGCGGAAAGATTCCACCCGGTCGCAATCCAGGCGACAGAGGGATCTGGACCTAGAGCCATCAGTTTCTGTGAGGTAGAAGGGGAGAAGAAGTCAGGATCGCTGCTTACCAATGTCGGCGTTGATGATGGAAAGAGTATTCACGGGCAACACATATCCGAGCTTGAAGCAAGAGATACCCAGGCATGTACCTATTAAAGTGCCCAAGAAGGATAGGGTCCAGTAGTAACCCTTGGGCATGTCCCCAAAGTTACCTCCGATGGCACTGGAGTCGATTTCCCGACCCAAGTCGCCGATGTGAGAAGCGATTCCATCATCCAAGTCAGAGTTGTCGCTCGGTGTGGGTTCGATGGAGTGGTGAGTGGTTGTCTCCTTGAAATTGTCGTCGCCCATCATGCTGCTGGCACCAAGAGCGACTTGGTGTGGAGACTAACAGTCCCAAGGCTGAGTAGCAGGTCGAAATCGAGGCTATGACCATTCACCGTCGAATAATAGGGAGATCAAAAATCTATTTTATGCTTAGGGTGGAAAGACTGGGAGTATAGGCGCAGCCCACGCCCACCGGCCCCCTCCGTCGTTCGACATTGAACTGCAAAGACCCCGCGGCTCTATTAAACTTTCTAAGGTTCGAGGTTCGAGGTCTAGAAGTCCCTCGATGCGGGGACATAGGGAGAATCAGGGAATAGAGCGGACACGGGCCAGAGAACGGTCGAGACTTTGGCCGGGATTCGCGTTACGATCTACATGCCATTGGCAAACGAACACCGAAAGACTGCTCTAGGGCCCGGACCCTTGTCAAGTCAAAAGACTAAAATCCTCGCCTGATTCGTGTGTGCTCCGGCTGGACTTGTCAGTCCAGTGAAGTTGGATATTGAGGCATCGTGACCTCTAGTTATCCTATAAGCTAGTGGTGCGATCTCTCTCGCAATGGGTTATGCCGGTTTCAAGCAGACGAGGGCGGCCAGGTACCCGAAATGGCCAACGGCTATGCCAACAATGGCGATATCGATGATCCTAACCCATGGGATAGTAGAAAACCAGGCTAGAAAGACACAATCAGTATATCTCGGCCTGCCTGATACGGGGTGCTTGTTTATGCCTTACTATTGATGGTGTTGAGGTGAGGCTGGATTACATAACAATCACATTCTTCGTGGTTCCGGTGATGCATTGTACTGCTTCGGCGAGAATCTTTGCACTTTGGCTATCTGACTCTCCGGCACTGGGTCACGAGGGAGTAGCATCTCGGTTGCAATACGATATCAGCCTCGTTGGCCAGATACTCTTTCATGTCAAAGTTCTATCGATCTCTATGAATCAACTCTATCTCCCGTTGTTGGGAGGCCGTCCTTGTCGTCTTCCTTCGCCACCACCTCTGCGGTGAGGATTATTGGAACCGGCCGTATTCGGGACCGTGACCAGCCCAGGAACCCCCTTGAGTCCCATCTTTCCGATGGTAGACTTCTCCAAGGCCGGGACTTCAGGACAATCGAGACCCTCTAATGCAAACCGATTCGCTTCGCGTACAAGTTCGACGGCGGACCATTTCAAAGACTTCATGTGTGTCTTGTAATACCCCAGCCATGCTTGGTACACCTTGGTCTTGTCCTGGAAGTGCGCCAACGCCGGTTCGACATCTTCAGTGCTGAACCGAAGTGCAGAAGGATATTCCTGGATCTTAATACCCTTCAGCTGGTACAGGAAGACCTTTTCGACCTCACTGAGGATCAAGACACCTCGGCCTCCGGCATCTGCGCGTGCGGTACGTCCAAGACGATGAATGTAGGATTCTTTGTCAGATGGGAGTCCAACCTGGAAGACATGAGTGACATTAGGAAAATCAATTCCTCTAGCGATGACATCTGTTGCCACACAAATGGCCATGTTGGCTTGACGAAATTCCTCCGTAGTTCGGGTTCGTTTAGCCTGCGACATACGAGAATGAAGCACCGAAACCTTTGGCATCGTGCCAACTGCGGCGAGGATGTGGGCGTAGAATTCCGCATGAGCTGCGGTGGGAGCAAACACAATGGCCTTGAATAGGTTGGTGGAAGTAAGCTCTGACTCAGTGACAGCAGCCAGGGCAGGGGCTTGTTCGTTCATGCTGGGAGTGGTGACAAGATATTGATCAACGTGTTCATGGGTGTTTGCTTCGCCTTTGGGGATGGTTGAGATATGTTCATATCCCTGGTTCAGAAAGAGATGGGCAACATTTTTCACCTGGTCATCAATTGTAGCAGAGAACAACATTGATTGTCGAGGAAGATTGGGAAGATACTTCAAGATTCTCTTGATATCTGGCAAGAACCCCATGTCAACCATCCTATCCGCCTCATCAAGGATAAGCGTCTGAAGAGATCCTAGTTGGTGTTGAACCCCTTCTTCGCCCAGGTGGTCCAAAAGTCTGCCAGGGGTAGCAACCAGTATGTCGCAGCCGTTGAAGATGGCCCTTGCTTCGGTGTTCTTGTTCGTCCCCCCGATGGAGCAGGCCACCTTGCATTGTGGAAATCTCTGCAACAACTTCTTCGCTTCGGCTGCGATTTGTAGAGCGAGCTCTCTCGTGGGACAGATGATCAGGGCTGACAGACGTGAAGTCCTGTTCTTCAGAATGGTGTCTACCGCTGGGAGTAGAAAGGCCAAAGTCTTGCCAGTCCCAGTCTTTGCCTGAGCCAAACAATCTTTTCCCTGCAGAAGATATTCTAGAGTGGCAGCTTGTACTGGCATCATATGGTCGAAGTGAAGGTCGTAGGTCAGGGTATCAAGAATGACCGGGTTGACTAGATTCTTGCCACGGAGGTCTTCGAATCGAGGGGTATCTTGGGGGATCGGGATGGTCGGGGGCGGAGGATTCGGGAGATTCGAGATGGGAGCTCGCTGCTGTGTGCTCGTCGGGTTGGGTGGCTGATGTCTCCGGGGTTCTGTACCGCCCTTGCGAAAAGGCGCACCCCTGGAACGAGCCATGATGCTGGAGCTGAAGTGGTCTGCACAGGAGTGGAGGTTGGAAACACTGCGTTCTCTGAAGATACTGTTGGTCAGCTGGTGAGTATGCGCGAAAATTTGTTTGCAATTCCTAAGCGCAAGGGCATTCATTACAATATCTGCGTTGAGATTTCGCAGTTGATTTGAACGCGATAAGATATTTTCTTTGGAGGATTTCGGAAACGCGTCCGGTGACGTCATTCACGCTCGCTTTACTTTCTCTCTGGGGAATTGCCTGGGCATGGTGATGATGGGCTTTCGTGGCATGTGTCCATGACTTGAGCGACGGAGTGGTAGAATTCGTGGCGGCAGGTCAGAAATGGGGAGGAGTTTCGGACATGCAACTGATGAGGCCGGTCCCATCGAGATGCTATTGACTGAAAGTACAGGGATTGACTGACGGGCCGCAGAGCCACGCACTCCAACAGAACCCTACACAGCCATATACCTTGACAGCTCCAACAGGATACCCCTGTCTAGGTGCCTGTCATAAACTTGCATGCTTGTCATTCCTCCTTATGTAACCCAGATGTCGTTGGTATGTTCCCTCCAGGTGTTCTCGTACAGCAAAGCACTGTTCTCCTCGCCAAAGGCTTTCCCTACTCGAGGGAGGTCTCTTGCTACTGTCATGCATACTACCTCTACGACCTGAGTCGTTGGCCTCTTGAAAAGAGCCCTTAACATTGTCACAAATGTTTGAATCCAATGTGCCAAAGTTAATGTCTGTTGGCGTTTGAATCCCACTATCCCATATTGTCTCCGTTATCCAGCTGTACGTTGATGGTGGAAGGTTTGAAGTCGAAGGTACGTCGTCAGCCCTGGGATGGGCGGGTCTGTGCCAAACTTTCACGTGTGAGAAGGCAGTTGGTAGAGAGTATGGCAGCATGTATGGGGCTGGGGCATGTTCATCATCAACAGTGTCACTGCAGGGCAGTGGCGGTACCCCTGGGGGCTCTCCAGTGCTAGGTGGGCAAACTGTGGGTGAGGATACTGGCTGCAAATTCGTGGTCAGAGAGTCAGTGTTCTGTCGGCGTAATCTATCGAACGACTGTCCAAGAAGGATGCCCAAGAGAAACACGGTGGCAATACCCACAACCGGTGGGCTGTGGCCAGCACGTGGCAGTCACTTCTCCAAGCCGGAGGGGTTCTGCAACTGGTCTGATTTTGTCCGTGTCAGCGTTCGCTTCTACGACAGGGCTAATGAAGTCTTTGGCGCACAAATGGCGATTATTCTTGCATGGAAAACTGACAAGTTCCTTGTTGGCGTGATCACCGTCATCTTGACTCTAATCAGCATTGCTCCTGGCAGGACAGACTGTCATATGGAAAGTTATCGAATACTCGCTCCATTTGTGATACCAGTGACTTGGTGATGACCTCGCCTCGCTTGACCCTTGCACCACCTCAGTCTATCAACTGTCACAAAGTATACCTATAAAAGGGACTCCTATGACCCAAGTCCAATAATTCTTGCTCAGTATACCTAGCCCTGATGACATCCTCCCCTTCTCTGGCCAGCAATTCATCTCTCCGCCGGTTCTCCCTCGAATAGCCAACGCGCAGAATGTACGCGGCGAGAATTCCTGCAAGGCATGCCCCCAACCCAACCCCAAACCCTGTGAAGTACCGAGGCGCCTGTCGGGCCAGGTACACATTTGAGCCACAAATTCCACCTAGGTTGCCGACACTGATGAAAAGGGCCATACCGACAGCCCTGGTAGATGATGGTGCGAGGTTGTTCCCCACCAAGGTGACAACGGTGGTAACAGGACAGAAGAGGCCGGCAGCGATGAGGAAGAGAAAGAAGTATGTCACACCAGGAAGCTCGGGGTGAGGAATTGCCAGTTGACCGATAAATCCGATGGTACCAACTGCGAACCCGCCCATGATAAAAGGAGTGCGCTGCTGTGCATAGTCAGACCAAAACGCCGCGCCGACGGTGGCAATCATCCCAAAGACGTAGATCGGAATCGTCATAAGCTGGGCATTGGCAGAAGTGTAACCCAAAGCCTGGACGACAGTGGGAACGGTGGCGGTGAAACCGTACGTGCCGAGGCCACAAGCACCGAAGGGTATGACTGCAACCCAGATCTTCCAGTCGCTAAAGGCAACTTTGATGTGGCGCCATCCGATCTTGTCCGTGTTGGTAACGCGGCCCTCTCTGGTTCCGCTCTGAAGTGCGACGCGGTTGATGACGAACTCGCGCTCGCGCTCTGTCAAGAACCTTGCGGTCTCTGGTCTGTCGGGAAGCAGAAAGTACAGTGAGAATGAAACTGCGATTGGGAGAAGGCCCTCAAGGATGAAAATCCACTTCCAGCCGGCGAGGCCCGAAATGCCATCCATTTTTTCGATCGCAAATGCCAGGAGACCGGAGAAGGCACCGGAAAGAGATGCAGCGGCGTAAAAGACTGCCATCCGTTTTTGAAGCTCATACCGTTTGTACCAAATTGTCAAGAGATATGTCGCTCTAAACACTTGGAGGTTAGTAAAGCCGCCGTGCAAGTCTCCATTGACTGTTCATATGAAGAGCTACACTTACGCAGGGAAAAGGCCGGCTTCTGCGACACCGAGGAAGAATCGAGCAACAATGAGTCCATGGTAGGTATTGACAAGGCCCATCAATGTCATAACCAAGCCCCAGGAGAAGCAGAGGATCGCCATCCAGATTGAAGGTCGCATGATTTTGAGCATGATGTTGCTAGGAACCTCGAGGAGTGAATACGGGACAAAGAAGACGGTCAAGGCTGTGTTGTACTTCAAGCCTGTACCCAGCTTTAGATCTTCCTGCATTCCGGCTATTTTGGCATTGCCGATGTTGCTTCGATCGATATAAGCAAGGCTGTAGTACAGAAAGTCAGCAAGTAACTGGACGATAAGCCTGAGAATTCTCAGTCTAGGCTCATACATACAGGTACAATACTGCCAGGAGAGGAAGCAGGCGATAATCGATCTTGCGAATGATTTTCCTCTCTTCATGGGGGTCTACGCTGGCCAGGAGCTGATCTTCTGAAAGTCCAGCCTCGGCCGTATGATAGTCATGTTTCTCATCGAGGTCAGCGTGGCATGGAGTTATTGCTCGTTTCTCAGCGCCATTCTCAATATGAATTCCAGTATGATCTTTTTCAGCCATCGTGTGTAAAGATAAGATGTAACAGGTCGAATGGCAATTGAATGTGGTGCACAAGACGAATGATAGAAGAATTAATCCGAGCAGGGCACAGGGTTCTATAGGTCTACGTGCACGTATAGGCAATACTGGCCAGGTTCCTGTCCAACTACCCGGGGATGTGGAGACCGCGGAGAAAACATTGGGGAAAGCGGGCACTGGGGACAGCTTTGCTAGTTAGTAACCGAGGATCACTATTACTTACGGCTATGTACCCCAGGTATGTATAGCCGGCCGAGCTCTCGTCGAAACAACGAATGAAGGTTACTTAGTATAATTCTGCGAAGGGTAATCTCGACAACTGAACACGCGGACAAGTGGATGGTCTCCTTTGCGAATATGCAAGCAGCCTCACGAATCTTCTCTTGCATTTCGAAGAGTCCAGGATACATGGTTGGTAGCAATATTACAGCGAGAAGTCTACTGGTATCTACAGATCGCAGCTCTGCCGAGCAAGTATAGGGATTGGCTTTCATCATCGAGACTAATGTACATGGGATTAGTACTTTCTTTCTGCTCGTTCTTGTCCCTTGAGATGGACCAGAGGAATGTTTCTCTGCTATATATGAACTACCCTGTCTAGAGGCTCTCATATACAATAGGCGATACTTCCTGCCACTATAATATGCCCTGTACCCGTGGAACAGCCCTCTAGAGATATAACGATCGTAGGTGCCACAACACACACCAACAAGGACAATCAGCCATTGGTCTTGAACGGAACTTCGTTGGCTGATACACATCCTTTCACTCAGTCTGTGTGCTGTGCATGTTCTCCTGTGGCTCACACATTAGCACTACCTTTCTACTCTCCGAGGAATCCCAGAACTCTGTGCATTCACACTTACTGTGACCGCTTCTGCAGATTTCTTCTCTTCATCGACCTTCTCAATCCATGCTTCCTCAGTGTGCTGACCCTTGGCAATCTCTGCCGGTACTCCTGTTTTTGAAAAGAGGTAATCGACCTGTTCCAGCGTCTTCCCGCCAGTCTCCGGACATAAGAAATAGACAAAGGGAAGCGCGATGAGATTCCCGCTCAGCACCCAGAACCAATACCTCCATCCGCAATTATCAAAGCCAATCGGACCAACAAACACATTCAAAAAAGTGCCCAGCCATTCACCGGTGGAGGTGGCGGCTCCCCCGATATGGCGATATTCCAGTGGCGAGATCTCAGCGCAGTAAAGCCATACTGTGCCTTGGTAGGCGTAGCCCATGACGAAGAGGTAGAACCAGAGGAGGGCGATAGAGGCCCAACTAATGGCCGAGTTCTGCGGGATGGCCACTAGGACAATGAAGATGACCATGAGCACAATCATAAGCATGGCCCCATAGAGAAGTATCGTGCGCCGGCCAGTGCGCTCGATAGTATAGTAGAGAGGCACACATCCCAAGGCAAATATAATGTTCTGAACTCCGCTGAGCAGCGAAATTAAACCCAGACTCGCTCCTGTGTTTTTGAGGATAATAGCACCTAGAGAAACGAAAAGCCAGAGTCAGTCCAACTAATGCAACAGTTATGCTCATAAATCTCTCTCTTTCCTCTTTATACTCTCTGTGTAACGAAGGGAAGGCCTTACTGTAGAAAGCCATCAATGAAGATCCCATCCACTCTCGTATGAAGGGAAACCAAAAGCAAATAACCAGTCTTCTGATAATCTTGAGCGGAGTGTGGTCGATGATTCCCATGGTGATAAATTGGCGCCAGTGAAGACTGGCATTGGCCTCCAGTTCAGACTCGATAGCTAGCAAGATATCCCTTCTTACCTCGTGAATTCGAGGGTCATCTGTGGATGGAGTATCGATTAGACGAGCAAGAACGGCATCGCCTTCATCAAAGCGATCGCGGGCGTAATACCAGCGAGGAGTGTCGGGAAGGAACAACATACACCCTCCACTGACGACAGCGAAGATGGCCTGAAAGACGATTGGCAGCCGCCACGAGATCTGGTTCTGCATCTTGGTAAATCCATAATCAACCCAGTACGCCACAGGCACTCCACCGATCAACATGATAGCATTGAACGCATTAGCAGGGCCTCTGTCGCCAACATCAATACCAGTTTCAGCCAAGTAGGTAGGGACGGCTGAGGAGACACATCCGATCGCGAAACCGGTGAAGCATCTGCCCACAATGAGCTGGGCGATACTATATGATGAACTCTGGATAATCGTGCCGATGATGGCTGCGATGTTCCCCATGATGATTGTTCCGCGTCGACCGATTCTAAAGGCAAAGAATCCCACGACAACCGAGGTCACGCATGCCGCAAGGCTGTAAGAGCTGGAGATCATGGGAATCGTGTATTGGCCTGTGCCCTCCAATCCGATTGCGTCTATAAATGGCTGATGGAGGAGGACGCCGCCCAAGACGCCAGCGTCGTACTGGAAAGGTGAATTCGAGAGTTATCATTCTATTCTAAGAGAACCTGCATGGAAAGAGGTACGAATACCAGAACTCACCCCATACATCATGAATGATGTTCCACATATGAACTTCATCAAGCGATAAAGGTTTCGACCACGAACCTCTGGCATGAAACCCATGTTTGGTAAAGTATAAGATGGATCCAAGGAAACAATTGCATGGAGGAATCTCGCATAACCTTGTAGCGTACAGTATCAATGAGCCATAGACAGAGCCAGCGCGTTTGTACTTTAGAAGTATATAATATAGCGTCTGGCCAAACATGGTACGGCTAATCGACATATATTCTATATAAAAATAGTAGTTAGCCGAGGGGAGAAACTGTTATCCGCGGCCAGGTCTTTAAGGCCAAACATTACCAGCCTCGTGACATCCTCCGCCCCGGCAGGGTGGGAACTTGTTTGAAAGAGCGTACATGTTACGACTATGAGGTCAAGAGCCCGAAAAGATCAATAGAAACATGGAAAGTAAAATAGGACAAAACGGTGCAAGGGTTTCAAACCCTGTCGGAGTTGAATTTCACAATGTTGCCTAATTGTAAAGATGACCATTACACAGGCTCATCAAATGCATTTGGGGACGATGTCATTTTCGAAGATCGGACCCCATCTGCTCCTATAAGTGGCAATAAGCAAACACTCCTCGAAAACTCAATTGGAGAATGAAGTAAAAGAGGGAGGGTGTCAGCAGCTGGCTAGTACCACGTCCAATGTTGCTTTGAGTATACTCGCAAAGACAGACACATTGAAGGTTCGACAGACAACTTCAAGGCTCCACATATCAAGTATAATCTACCAAACACTATTGGCCCCGCGCCCTCGATTAATTCGCTTACAATAAAGGTGTGAGTGGATTGGAGAATCAGCAGATGACAGGATAAACTATCTTCAGCAGCCTATAAGAGGATGTCGGATGCCATCCACACTCCCTTATTGCGTATTTAAAACAGTGCCATAGCATTGGGAGGTGATGCCACGGCTCTGGGGTGGTTGAGAGGACTGGAGGTGACGAAAAAGGTCCACCTGTTCAGCTTCTTACAAAGCTCCGCGAGCCGCTCCAGGTCAAACATCTCCCCGATTGGCAATCCCCAGCCAGCAAGGAGATAGTGGTGCATATTCCAGTTGTTGTCACGGTTTGGTCGCACCTCGAAGCTAACCCCATCGCCTGCCACCGCGACAATATGGTTTTCCCATATAAAGCGTGCCACGGCTTCGCTCTGGATGAGTCCACTGTGTCCGTGCTTATGAACCAATGTGTCCGCACGGTATTGCTTCTTCTGCTCTAGGGAGAGCGAGTCCCATGTTTTGGTGAAGCCGGAACGCAAAAAGAAGATATCACCAGGTTTGAAGGTAATGTTGCACTGCTTTGCGATTTCCTTGACCTCTTCCAGTGTGATCGCATGGCCGTTTATGCCGTTGGCTTCTAGCCCCTTCTTCTCTGCGTAGGAGACATAGTCGATCAGAAAGCCTCTCGCGGCAATGCCTTGCTGTGCCCAGTGGCCAATGCCAATGCGGTCGCTTTCTAGATTGGAGATGTCCTCGGAGGGAGTGCCGCCATACCAGGCGCGCTTTCCATTATCAATTTCGGTGCTGTAGTGGCGAAAACCGTCCCATTGGGAGCCTGCCTGTGGATTAAAGCGCCAAATATCATCCCAAGCAACACCTTCATAATTGGGAATTGGCACTATCTCGTGTTGACAGGGGAATCGATTGAACCCTATGTCATCTTTGTAAGAAGGGGGATGGGGAAGACCAGCAGTAGTACCACGTACCTGGCGTCTCCAGTTTCGTCATATCCCAATTCAAGCATACGCGCTCTCCCGTCTGGACTTCTGACTTGACAACCTCCGCCACATGGGCAGGTGTCAAGTATCTCAACATTCCAAGACCTTCATCTCTGCTTCCAGGCTTCGCTGGCCAGAAGCGCTTCTTGTCCTTGACTTCATCAAATGTGGGTAAATCGGAAAACGACATGGTGACTGCTGTTACAGGGTATGGCAGTATTGACGGATATGCCTTGCGCAAAAGTAAAGTAGATTTGTGCACTGTTGTACCTGCTTGATGTGCTGTTCAAGCTGTGCCCTAGGTGCCAAACTTAAAGGAAAATATTCGGGTTGCCATGAGTTGACTGTAATTGATTACCGACACAAAGCCCGAGGACAATGAACATGTGGAGGGCGGGGAAGATGGGGGGGTTATGGAGAAAGGCGAAAAGGGGAACTGCAACATCCGTGAATGCTGTGGATGGATACCTTAGCCGCGGGTATAGTAATGAGACTGGCAGTCACCGAGGAATTAGTCGTACCACGATTTAGCTTCTCGGTTCTTGGAGCATGCAGCCTCGTCAAGAAAGAACCAGGGGTCAATATTGGCTGCGTGTGGGGATTCCCCGGATCGCCTTCTCTGGGAGGGAATGGAGTAAAGCAAGTGAGACATGGTCACGGTAAACAAGCCATCAGGTGTTCACCCCTGACCACAGAGGTAGGGTATATCATATAGCACCGTCTCGCCAAAGCTCTGGAGGATGCTTCCATATTCCTGAGGCTCGCAATCGCCACTGTACCATCTTAAGGTCCCCTTTTCACCCAAGTCTGCGAGACTCATCCAGCATGGCACCTCACACATCCCCGCCCGGAGCGGTGCACATCGAACATATACCTCGAGCGGTCACATTTTACAACTATAAGTGTGTTGCTTTTGCCGCCATCGCATCTGTTATTATCGGCTATTGCTTGTCCGCAGTGGCAACGACGTTGGTAGGTGCTTTGCGTCCCAGTATCGACGTATTGCTGAGATTTCCCAGGGACAACCAGCTTTCTACAAGTACATGAAGCTTCAAACAGACGAGTCAGTCGACAAAGATGCCTATGACTACATGGTGGTCGTCCAAGGACTAAGTTCCTCACTCTCACAAGCTGGTGGATTCTTCGGCAGCATATTCACATCGTGGTCAGCGGATAGATATGGGCGTCTGAGGTCGTTCCAGCTTGCGTGTCTTATCGTCATTATTGGAGGTGCTCTCACCGCAGGCGCCGTGGATATCCCCATGTTTTTGTTTTTCAGGCTCTTTGGTGGCTTCGGCGTCGGGATGCTTCTCGTGCTCTTTCCCATGTACGCCGCAGAGCTTTCACCGCCGCGGGCCAGAGGTCTCTTGGTCGGCCAACACGGTGCTGGTCTTTGTGTCGGATACAACCTCGCCGCCGCGGTCAGCTTCGGATGCTATTTCGCAAAGAATGGCAACTTTGCATGGAGGTTTCCACTGGCTGTGCAGTGTTTGTTCCCGGCGATCTTGTTCACCTTCTCTTTCTGGATGCCGGAAAGTCCTCGCTGGCTTATTCTCAAAGATAGTCCTGATGAGGCAAAGAGGGTGCTCACACGCATCCACAGAGCTCCCAGCGATGAAAACGACGACTTTGCCACGGCCGAGTTCGATCTTATGGTCGCTCAAATTCAGCTCGAACGGGCGAGGAGTTCCGGCGCGGTTGCGACGTTTCTAGGGCGATGGAAATATCTTCTCAGCAAGAAATCTTACCTACACCGCGCCGCCTTGGGCTTCATTCTCATGCTCGGGATGCAGGGCACAGGCTCTACTGTCATTAACAATTATCAGATCATCCTCTACCCTGGTCTTGGAGTGGGACCCGCTCTGGCCCTGGGTTTGTATTGGGTGTACGTTGCAGTCGCCTTCGTGGCAAATACTACTTCTGCTCTGATTGTCGACAGACTGGGTCGAAGGCGGTCCTTTTTGATTGGTCTTATTGGCCTAGGGACTGCGCTGATCGGAGAGACCATTGTGTCATCATTCCTGCCAACCACCAAGAAGGCCGTGCTGGTGTTAGGGGTCTTCTTCATCTTCTGGTTCATTCCGTGGTACGGGTCGCTGGTTGATGGTGTCATGTACACATATACGTCTGAGATTTGGCCGACCGAAATCCGTTCAGAAGGCATTGCACTTTCAATGACAGGTACGTGAAGGGAGGGTGTGCTAGGCCGTCGTTCCGAGACTTACTAACTTCTGACATAGGCTTTTGGCTTGCAACCATTGCCATTCTTCAGGCAGCACCGACCGGATTTGCGAACTGTGGCTGGAAGTTCTATCTCTTATTCATCTTCTGTACGGCTGCAATGTGGTTATTTATCGCCTTCTGCTTTCCTGAGACCGGGAATATTCCGATGGAAGAGGTAGCTCGCTTGTTTGGTGACGAGGTTGCTGGCACACTGGATGAGGAACTTAAACATCACGGACATGGTGAGGAGATGGAGATCAGCTCCGCCGGATTGAAGCCATGAAAAAGAGGGACAAAAGGGTGCTGCCTATGAAGAGGAGCACGATGAAGTGCAAATCTCACAGAACTTCCGTATATCTCATAGCAATGGCTCGGTTGTCTGGTGTATGGACAGCAGGAGTATTGGTCCCAGGCGGTCTTTGAGTTGCTTTGGTCTTAGTAATGAGGTACATCTTGAGTGAGCACGGGACGGACACGGCTATTTGTCCACGTCTGAGACTTATAATTTTAACAAAGCATAATAGAAGGTAAAAGCCAGGATTGTCCTCAAACTCCCTGTCGAGCTTATTGTCCCTCGGAGATATTAAAGTAACCGACAAACATAACCGCCCAGCAGTGTACAATATGCAGATCCGAGGGATGATAAAATTATATGATAGGGCGCAAGGCTAGTACATTAAGCGAAGAAACCCCAAGACATTGTTCTGCTATCTCAACATCACTGACATCGCCCCCTTGCACCTAATTGCTCACCTGAGCTCCTTGATGAAATAACACCTAGCCAACATGAGCTCTATCAACGGTGCCTCAAAGGGTGCACCATTTGAGTTCTCAGCAAAGAACCTGCCGAAAAAGCTCTTTATCAATAACAGTTACATTGCGGCAAATGGTGCCCAGACTCTATCTGTTTACAATCCCAAAGACAACTCGTTGGTCGCAGATGATGTACCTCTCGCTGGACAGCCCGACGTCGACGCTGCAGTTGAAGCTGCAGAGAAGGCCTTCCCTCGATGGAGGAAATTCTCCGCCACAGCTCGCAGAGATATCATGCTCAAATTTGCATCGTTGATCGAGGAGCATTCGGGGGCACTGTCGGAACTTACCAGAATCACCCTGGGTGCTCCCTATGATACCTTTGGTAAATTTGAAGTTGGACTTGCGGCCGAAGTCAGTCGAGAAAGGTCCTAGGGATAAGCATCCTGCGTGCTAACACTTTCTTCTTCTTCACCAGGCTTTCAAATACAATGCAGGATGGATCGACAAATTCGTGGGGGAAGCAGTGCCGCAAGATGGGGGGTTCATGCAAATTACTCGCAATGAGCCTCTAGGAGTGACGGCCGGGATCGTACCCTGGAATGGCCCTCTAGGGACTGTGGGCCTTAAGGCCGCTCCGGCTCTGGCCACTGGAAACTGCTTTATTCTGAAGCCATCCGAGAAGACACCATTTGCGGCTCTCGCTCTAGGACCTTTGATCCAGGCGGCTGGATTTCCTCCAGGTGTGTTTCAGATATTGTCTGGAGATGGCAGTACCGGTGCTCTAATTGCCAGCCATATGCGGATTCGGAAGGTTAGCTTTACTGGCTCGATACCAACCGGTAAGAAGATTCAGGAAATGGCGGCTAGATCGAATCTTAAACGAGTTACTCTGGAACTTGGTGGGAAGTCCCCAGCGGTATTCTTCGACGACTGCAACCTTGATAATGCGGTTTCATGGGCTGTTGATGCACTGGCTACAAATACTGGACAGGTTTGCTTTGCGGCTACTCGAGTTTACGTCCAAGATGGGATCTACAAGGAGTTTGTGGAAAGATACAAGGCCGCTCTCGAGGAGCGTGCTAAATTCATTGGCGATCCAGAGAACGAAAACACCTTGGTCGGTCCATTGGTCGACGAGGCACAATTCCAAAGGGTTACTGGATTCATCGAACGCGGGTTGTCACAGGGAAAGCTACTCACTGGTGGCAACCGTGTAGGAGACAAAGGATTCTACATCCAGCCAACAGTGTTTGAAGGTGTTACATCGGACAAGGAAATCTTCCAGCAAGAGATTTTTGGGCCGGTTGCTGTTCTCAATAGGTTCAAGACTGAAGAGGAAGTCATTGAGCAAGCTAACAGCACCGAATACGGCTTGATGGCGGGCGTTTTCACTCAAGATATCAACAAGGCGTTCCGCGTCGCCAGTGCTTTTGATTCAGGCATGGTGGGGATCAACTGTGTCAGCTTGACCTTCTTGACTACCCCCTTTGGTGGAAGCAAACAGAGCGGTCTGGGACGTGAGTGTGGAAGGGCTGCCTTGGTCGCCTTCACCGAGCCCAAAACTATCATGATCAACATGACGTACTAGGTATTGCCGGAGCCGTCGATGAATTCAAGAGAGAATTCGCCAAGCAATGAGATGTCCCCGGCTTCTCCGTTGATTTGGAACTTAGTGTAAAGTTGAGATTTTGCAGAATTGAGATAGGATATAGATCTAGATACATTCAGGCCAGTTGCGCGAAAGTTCAAGTCGATTCACTCTCATTCTAAGGTCTCAATCAAATGCCACTGCCATCCTCTTGGTCGCAGTCCCTGCTCGCATCTCATTGACCATGTCATCCAGTTCTTCCAACTTCCGAAGCTCAACTTCAGGGGCAATGTTGTGCTTTGCAGAGAAATCCACCGCCTTCTTCAATCTTCGAGGAATCCCCGGACTATCACTCTTGATCCGATACTTTGCCAGAGCCAAGTCCATTGTCGAGACCTCCAGTGGCTCATCAGGCAATCCAATAACCATCAAGAGCCCACCAACTCTGATAATGTTAAGAGAATTCACATAGGCTATCTTGGCATTGCTGAAAACCGCCGCAGCATGAACACCTCCTTTGGTAAGGTCTTTGACCTTGGAAACGTACTCTTGGTCGGTTCTCGAGTTGAAAATGGCGTCTGCACCTTGGGCCTTGCAGACCTCCAGTGTTTTGTCGTTGATATCAATGGCGAGGACGTTCAGGCCCATTGCTTTGGCATATTGTGTAGCAAGCTGGCCCAGTCCTCCTGCTCCAATCACGCCTAGCCATTGGCCAGGTTGAAGCTCGCAAGAATCCACGGCATTGAAGGCTGGAACATCAATACATGCCAGACCCATCAAATTTTTGGGGTGTCTTACCGGTCATCCCAGCGCAAAAGAATACGGAACTGGTCTTCAAACTCCAGTGCTTAGGCAGATGAATGGCATTTCGGTAGTCGACAATTGCATACTCAGAGAAGAAGCCCGGCTCTGACCAACCCTGCATTTCAGGCTTGCCGTTCAAGCACAGCCGTTGGTGCACCATACATCCCTCGCATTCAAAACAACAACCCAGGATGTACAGGAAGCCGATCGCATCGCCAACCTTGAACCCTTTACCTTCCGCAGATGGATGGAGCTGAGAAATGACTCCGACACCCTCGTGTCCCAGGGTGAGGGGCTCTTCTCGATCTGGGTCGTCTATAGCCATGATATCTGTATGACATAGAGATGCGGATGTAATTTTGACGAGTACTTGATGTGGCCCTGGCGCTGGCACAGGAATCTCGTTGATGACCACTTTCTTCTGCTTAGGTTCCCATTGACCGGCTTTCATTGTCCTCGCTGTTGATGTCGAGCCCATGCTGACCAAGTGCGTAACTATTATGGAACGAGTTTCTCTGAATCGTGATTTCGTGGATGCTTGGTTCGTTGTCAACGGATGCGGCTTCGTCTGTCAGTATCGAAGGAAATAGTGACCGCTTCAAATATCCCCGGGGTCGCTTTGGACCAGAATATTTAGATCAGTAGTCGCCCTAATAATGAATCCCTGGCAACGTGTTGGCGGACACGATCTCCACACTTCGGTTGTCGGGTCGAATATACAGGACGATTAAGAGTGGATCATTTGATAGGCGAGGAACTCGTAACCGCGGAACAGACAGCCCCCAGTTATGGATCGGACCTTTATGTCGAAAAAGACGGGTATTTCCTATGCTCTGGACCTGAGCGGGTAGCAGGATCCCCAAGGCAGCTGCGCGGCTATGGTCCGTTTCCATTGTCGGTTATCGGCCACTTTGTCTCTGTTGTGATCAATCGGGTGGTTACAGTACGCCGTCTGTCTTCTTGTTGTATCCCGAAACCGTAGGCCACGAGGCTAAACTCCTTTGAATCACAAGAACTTGGTCACCCCGGGAATATTTTTGAATCCGCTGAAGTAGTGGAGAGTTAAGGAAAGGTTTTGTCTTGAGTCTTGTAAAAGGTTTGGAAGCTAGCCAGGGGTAGAAAATACTAAGGATAGCATTGTAAGACGAGAGGTATAGCAAAGGCCTGTCACTGTAGTTTTCGTCTCGACCAAAGGAAAACATTCCGTGTTCAAAATGTAGCTTCTACTAATATGTAGCAATACCATATCTACTCATCCTCCTTCCAGGTCCACGGTAGGAATTTCTCTGGGATCTCAACATGCTTAGCACGGATATAATCGGTGAATCCCTTGCCACGATTATCCAACAAGGTTGAACTGCTGACTCCGCGACCAAGGATACCGTAAATGACGAAATGGACAGCAAAAATATTGGGGAACTCAACACGCTCTAGGCGGTACTCATCTTTCCAATCCTTTCCAATCAAGTCCTTCATCTTCTCCAGGGTCAAGAAACTCCTAAACCACTCCCAGATCTCTGGACGATCCACGAACAAGCCGCAGTTGATGTTGGAACCCTTGTCGCCAGATCTCCCAAGAGCAATGTTGCCCAGCGGCATCGAAACAGTCGATCCGAACGACTCGAGGGGAACTGGGTTGGCTGTGTCGTAAGAATCACGCTGCTCTATAGCCTCGTACGCCGGAGGCCGGGTGCATTGGATCGACTTCGTGATCTTGCCACCTGGGCCGAGGATGTGGACGGCTTCCTCGATTTCGTCCTGGGACACAATGCAAGGGTAGTAAACGTAAAAGGACTTGGGATCTGCCGTTCGGAGATCTTGCGACCAATGGAGACCTAGTAAGTAATAAGTTTTGCCGCCCTTTCCAGAATTGAAAGCTTGGTCAGACTGTACCTGAGAAATGTTGCATTGTCTCATCAGCTAACAACAGCTTCAGTGCCGCCAAGGGCCCTGGGGTCGATGCCTGTGCAAAAATGCGGAAGTACGTGGTAGCCTCCAGTTGGAAACTTGGATTTGGCCGTGGAGAGCCGACACTAAGACCGGTGTGGTTGGTTAGTATGTGGTACCTGGGTGGTCGGAAGGTGGACTCACACTTGGAAATCCAGGACAGTGAATGCGTCGCTCAGGCCTTGCTCTGCCATGCGAGCTCGAATCTGTTTCTCATAGAGAACATACTTCTTGCGTGTCGCATAGCCGGCAGCGTTGGACAGGTTCTGGGATTCGAACCCGCCCTTGTAGTAGATGGCCAATTTGGTCGTGGGGGGTGGCGGACGACCAACAATGCCAGAAAACCGAACCCGGTCCTCGCCAACTTGCTCCACCTTCACATTGTCCAGGAGCGCCTTGACATCGCTGTTCAAATACATGTTCCCCTGGATCTCATACAAGAACTGACACTTCACCGTCTCTTCCGTCACCATGCCGTTTGTGCCGGGGTGTTTCGTGATGGTGCAAGTTCCGTCCTGCTCAACTTCGGCAATGGGGAATCCCGAGTCGATGAACCTCTCGAGAGGGAAGCGATGGAACCCAGAAAAGTTGGAGCCTGATACATAAGCAGAACATTCGATCAAATGGCCGGCCAAGAACGCCCCCGCCAGACGATCGTAGTCGGTATCCGACCAGCCATACCACCACCAAGCAGCCCCGATCACTGGCGAGGCATCGGCGACACGGCCACAAATGATCAGATCCGCGCCATTCTCGAGACCTTTGAGGATTCCTCGGGCTCCAATGTAGGCATTGCAAGCAAGCACCTCATCAGCTGTCAAGTTCAAATCTTTGTGGGCGTTGTTGTTGATGTCTTGGAAGGTAGTTGGCAGGGAGCCTTGCTCTTTGAGCGTGTTTTTGACTTGCCCAACAATGTTATCACCAGACACAAATGCGACTGTCAGATCGTAATTGTGTTTGTCGATGAGTTCCTGACAGCGCACTGCCATCGCTTGCGGGTTCAATCCACCACCATCGATGATAACCTTGATGCCTTTTTCCGCAATCACGTCCATGCTTTGCTGTAGTGCCTGCCAGGCATTGATCTTAAAGCCTTCGCCTGTCCCGGCCTCTATGGCCGCTTGTTCTTGCGCCAGATTGTTCTCCGCAAGCCAGTCGCCAGTGATGAAGTCGACGGGACCCAAACTGGCCTGTTTTCGCATCTGCCATCCAGGCTCCATTTGGCCGCCAGAGCAATTTGCAATGCGAACAGGGCGTGTGCCCCGTTCATCGCGGGGCCGGCGGTGCTGTAGGGCGGATACCATGATTACAGTGATGGAAACGAACAGTGGATGTTTCTTGCAGGCACTTTCGCATAAAATGTCGCTGAATTGGTAGGACGAGACAATGAATCGTGCAAGGCTAAACTTTTAAGGGGATTTCAAACTATGTGTACCTGGCCTCTCGGCTATCATTCACATATGCCTGGTTGGAGACTCTCGTTGAGGATGTGATTTGGACGAAGAGAGCCGGCCAAAGTCATCTGTGTTTGTGATTAGGTCCATTGTGTTCGATCGGTATGCCACATTTCAAGCCGAGGAGTGTTTAATGCACGGCTATCGGATCCCCACGAATTCACAATATTATAGCCGTTCCGCGGGCTTGGCTAACGCGGCCCAATTAGTTGCAATGAACCCGCTACGAGGGCGGCCCGAGGACGATACACATAACGATAGCAACTTTAAATTCGATTGCCACTAGTATCACCGTTACAGAAAGCAAGGGGCTGTGACCCTGTAACCGTCAGCTAAACGATATAGAGGCAGCTTCAGTAGCTTTGGCCATGGCAGACTGAGGTCAAAGTTTGACTATAGCAACAGGCCCTATATAAGGTATGCTGGCTGAAGCTGCTGCATCCACAGCTCTATTAATCCAGCGAGATCATTCGGAACTCAAGAGAATCGCATGTTTTGCCACGTGCGGCCGTCTAGGTGGTTACTAGGGGTAAGGTCATTTCCATGCCATCTCTCAGCGCTCGTATGATACAGGGCGCTGATAGTATCTGCGTTGGCCAGTATAAAGACGGGCGAGCGGGTGAGAGGCGAAAATGTAAAGTCTAATCATGGGCTTGATAAAGACCTTCCACCCCTTGAGGAGTAGATATAGGGGTACTATCGAGTATCATACGTATTTCAGCAAGTTACCTCGGCCCTTGATAAGCACTTGTTTCACTTTCTGGCTAGAGGCTCCTGTCTAGGTGCCTGTCAACAGCTGATTAGAACAGGCGAGCAGTGCCACCTCCAGTCACGGGGAAGAAGTGCATCCTAGCGCGTTACTCCAAGGCTCGCCACCAGCTTAGGGGCCAAGTAGCGCAGCCTGACTCCCGAAAGCTCCCCGAAACTCCTCCCCCCGCCCCCGGAAACCAAAACCATCCCCCGCACTCGCCTCCTCGACGTCTACCTTACTCTCCGATTCGGCAAGAGCGGCAGACTCTTACGGGAAGCTCTTTGTTCTGCAGTTGCACGTTGAGCAGAATTTGTGTCAGCGATTGTTTACTGCAGCTCATAATCCTCCACCTCTCTTGAAGCTTGAAGATAAAGGTATGAGGCGGATGCCAATTACTCGCCACTCGAACGAGCCGCTTTTGCTTCTGTAGACCGGGGCGGCCTTGAAATCACAACACAATCTCATCCCTCGGACAGTGCCGTTATCATCTATAGGCGTCGAAGCAACCCTCTTTCACGATGGGCTCGCCGGAAGGCACTTGGAGCCCAGTGACCAGCTCTGCCGAGCCAGGCTCACAAGCTCCCCAAGACGGGACCCGGAAACGAAAGCACTCGACAAACGAAACCCGGACAGGACGTCCTACAAAGTACCGCGCATCGCAAGCATGCCAGTATTGTCGAACAAGAAAGGTCCGTTGCGATGTCCTGATCAACCGTGGCGGCTGCACGAATTGCACGCTGGACAGTAGGGAATGTATCGTATTGGCTTCGAGAAGAGGAAGACCCGAGCGCGTTCACGACGACAGAGGCGCCAGAGACCTTCCCAAGTCCCCAGTCCCCCGTTGCTCAGGACAGGTTAGCGACTCGAATCCAAACACGACAGGAACTGACAACATGACAAACCATGGGGCCATGTCTACGCCGATGGACTCGGCCGACGCCGGCGATGTTCCTGTCTGTGTAACTTTTGAGGAGGATGAAAAGCACGACACTAGCACGACGGATTATACGCCTTCTGCTGCCCACGATGTCCCCAGGCGCGCAGCCCACGAAGCAATATCGAATCCACTACAGCACTATCCCAGTCCGCCTGGGATACCCGCGCTTCCCGCGTTCATCACTCCGCTCCCGGCCCGCATCTTAACTGAAGATTTGGACTTTCTTGCACGGAAAGGAGCGTTCACGGTGCCCGAGCCCGAAATACGAGCTGAGATCTTGCGGGGTTACATCTTCAGTGTGCATCCATTCATGCCCATGCTAGACCTCAAGCCGTTCGTCGATGCGGTCTCGAACGAGGGTGAAGACAGTCGTGTCAGCCTCCTGCTGTTCCAGGCGGTCATGTTCGCCGGGCTGAGCTCCCTCGAGCTGCCTTTTGTTCATCAGCTGGGGTTTGAATCAGCCAAGAAAGCTCGCGGGGTCTTCTTCACTCGTGTCAAACTCCTCTATGAATTCGACGTCGAGCCAGACTGTGCAGCCGTCTTCCAAGCATTGCTATTGATGAGTTCGTGGTACAGCAACTGGAACGAGTGGAGAGACACCTGGCATTGGGCAGGGCTGGCTCACTTGGTGGCCCAAAACATGGGACTCCATCGTGAGCCGACTCAGTCGTGCGGCTCTGACAAGACCCGACGTTTCCGCAGGAGACTTTGGTGGAGTTTGTACATTCGTGATCGGACACTTGCACTCGGAACTCGCCGCCCGATGCGCATCCGCGATGAAGACTTTGACGTGGCAATGCTCACCTTGGATGACTTTGACATTGAGCCCTTGGATGAGTTCAATCGTGGGTCGCCTCTGAATCAAAATGCGGAGGAGCAAAAGTGCACGGCTCTGATGTGCATCGAGCTTGCGAAGCTTTGTGTCTGCATCGGCCATGTGCTCTCAACCCAGTACACGACGATGAGCAATCAGCCCACCGTTCCACACACGGTGATGGTTGTGGCAAGACGCGATGGACAGCGCATCAACGAACTTTCAAAGTGCGATGACGAGATCAACGAATGGCTTCAGGCACTAGGTCCAAACCTCCGCAAGCCAGGCTCGTCGGCATTCCAGGATGGCTCACAGAGCTGTTCCGAGGTCCATTGGGCAATCCTAAACATGGCTCATCATACGTTGGTGAACGTCCTTCACCGCACCCAAGCCTTACAGCCCTTGTCAGACGCCCCGGAGGCCCTGGCTGTGCAAAGAACATCGCGATTGAAGGTCAAAGATGCCGCACGCAACGTCACCAAGATTGCGCAGACAATGTTGCACCGCAACCAAGTAAGATTCCTCGGACTCGGTGGGATCACGGCACTTCTTGCGGCGTGCCTATCTCACATGGTAGATATCCGCTCCGGTGACGAGGATGTGCGCGATGCCAGTATCTTCCGGTTCTATCAGAGCATGCAAGTGTTACAGTCCATGAGGAGTATGTACGCTACAGCTGACTCGGCTGTCTCTTTCCTGGTATCCATCATCCGGAAAGCTGGTCTTCCGGTACCAGCGCAAGTTGCCATGCCTGCTCTCGATCTCATGTCCGCCTCGGCGGAAAGTCTGGTCCCGCTGACAACGTCAGGTCGGCAAAATCCTGATCCAAATGATTCTACTGCCTCCCAGGATGGTTTCTGGGGCATGGGAAACGTTTCGCCTACTGCTGTTAGGGCCGATTGGCAGTCCAACCATTCCCAGACTACCTTACAGCCAAGGAGTCATTCACCTCTAGCACTTCTCGACTCAAATCGACAAGTCTTACCCACCAGCGGCGAGATGCACATAATCTCAATCAAGGACACGGGGAATCCTTCCACCGACGCGTTCGCTGCCTCTAGTTACATATCAACGTCTAGTCAGGCCGCACTTAACACGACTAAAGATGCCCCAACAAGAGAACATAACAGTTTCCACTTTATGGATACACCCAGGATTCTGTCAAACTCGGGTGCTAATGAGCCTTTCTTAGACTGGAATAGCGGTCTAGATTCTACTATGGATTTTGAACCTATTGCGTTCAACTACGACTTCTGTTCAGATACTTTTGGGTTTCTGGAACGTGGCTAGTGTCAGGGTTTGACCCGTCAGATATCATTGAAGAGTCAACTATGTAGTTCGTAATTGAAACAAGTTCTGCTTGTTGATTCTCCCTTCAGTCTTTGTAATGTCCTGCACGGCCTTTCGAACTTCCGGGTGTGGTCATCCCAAGGAACAATTCTGCTTGTTCCAAGATCCTTGGGCAAGCAGGCTGTTACACGTTGGCAAAACATGGGAGCATTGTGTCGTCTGTCTACAGTCCTGGTGATGACAAAATCCCGAGCCAGTAGCCTAACACTTTCGCGTCGTATGCCAGTCCGTGGGTGTTTGAACCCTCGATCACAGCTAGGGAAGTTGGGGCACGTATTGCGCACCTCGTTGCTTGTATGACGTCTAAGTCAGGGACTCCCAGGAAGCAAAAATTAGGCTTTTGACAAAGAATGAAGGTCACCAGGTAATTGGTTGTTGTTAGACATTGCGACCGAGTTAAACTGTTAGCATGGATATTTCCGACAGAGATCATTGGCGTCGCGCTTAGATTTGCAACTTGAGATAGGATGTACCTAGAACAAGTCCAACTACTCCTATATATGGTAGGGACCATATCATCCGGGGATGTAGTACGTTCCGGAGACCAAACTATATAAGTGACGCTCGCACTTGTGACTTTTTGTCTGTCACTAAGCTGACCCAAGCATCCCAACTTCTCTACCGTGGACAGTCTAATGTAGTGGATAGAGGAGTTACTCACAACACTTCCTAGTGTAAAGAATATGGAATCTCGAATTTGCGTAGCTGCAAAGGCATTGGAGATGATACCAGCAGAAAGTGACCACTCCTTGAGGCTTAATAACGGTGTTTGGATGAAAATGGAATCATACCAAGAGCTTTCCACAAGTTATCAAGGTCTATTGCAGAGCCAATTTCCCAGTAACCGACTCGTCCACCAAGACATGAATGGGGTCTTCCAAATTGACCCATCCTAGATATGGAAGACTGGCCTGATATCCTGCCATCTTCATGACCTCCAATGGATATGTTCTCATAACGTCGAGAGGAGTGGTGAGGTATTGATTCTCTTCCTAAATACCATTATATTCAGTTAGTTATTCTTATGACAATCTTAGTGCTATGAGGTGGTGTTACCTGGCGCAAATAGCCCTTAGTCATGAAGCAGGCATAAACCAATCTCTCTTCGTTCGTGGTGGTGTTGGCGCTCCCACCGTGGTAGGCTGAGGAGAGCATCCAGAATGCGTCTCCTGGCTCCAGCTCAGCATAGCAGGCAAGGTCCTCATTTGGAGGGGTCAAATGGCTCCAGAGGTGAGAGCCAGGAATGAACCGTGTGGCGCCATTTGCTCTGGTGGTCTTCTTTCCGGCCACAAAGCAACCCAGCCCGGTATCGCGTCCGATCTTGTACTCATCTGGTGTGATCTCCGGGGTTCTGTTGTGGTGCATGGAATCGTCCCGGTGGAGTTCTTGGGCCTTTGCCCCGGGACCGATTGAAAAGATGACATTGGTGTTCAGCTGGGGCCTGGAAACAAAGTTCTCAAGCTTCTGTCCGCAATAGCCTTGCAAAACATCGGTGAGCATCGCGTGGCAGACATCTTGGTATAGTTTGTTTGCCGGGATGCTCTCAATGAAAGCCCTTGATTTCTCAAAGAGCCCAGTCACCCGCCTCGTCTCCGGGGGGAAGAAATCATCCAGCGTCCAAGGCTTATCTGCTTGGATATACGGGCGAGTGTCCCTTTCGATCTGTTCCAATTTCTCCGTTGGCACCATGCCGCGGACGATGCATCCACCACACAAGCTCAAAGCCTGGACTATTTGGTCGCAAGAAGCGGTGGACGCATCGAAAGAATGCACTTTCGGGGGTGGCGGAGTATGAACACTCTTGACTTTGGGCGCCTGGGAACCTTCAGGGTAGGTCGCGGTGGGAGCCATGTTTTCGGCAGAGAGTTTTGAGATTGGGTACTTCTTTCTAAAGGAGCAAATGCAGTTTGACCCGGTGAGGAGTGTGACTAGAGGGAATGAAGAGTATATAAACAGTCAATAGTTGCTTGATACTCGGGCGTAGGCCTCCGCATGATTATGCTCTCACCACTCCATCCGGCTACTAAAGAGAAAACCTCTGGGACTGAGCGAAGAGTATTACACCCGTATTAAGTGGGCGAATGAATCGGTGAAGCGCGATACGCGTGCCATTATCGCTTGCAACGATCCAAACGGGACCATGCAGCCCATTCAAGTACTAAGCTTATCAGGAAGTGGTCCTAGCCACGTGCAGGGATAGGGAAGCTTATCTTCCACTGAATCTCAGACCGAATCCACTCTTGTTATCTCTTCTCGCCGACCGCAGGACCTACTAAAGCGCGCAGCGCGCTCCAACCTCATCATCCCACATACAGTTCACTGCTCATCTGGCCCCTGCCAATTAGCTCAGTTGCGACTATTTCTCGTGCTAGATTCCCAATGGGCAATTCCGGGGCCCAGCTCTTGCGGGGCAAGACTGGGTGTCTCTGCTGCCGGCGACGAAGAAAGAAATGCGACGAGAAGAAGCCAAGCTGCAACGCTTGCCTCCGGAACTTCCTCATCTGCGTCTGGCCACGACAGGCGGGGACTCGGTCACCCCGACCGAGCCACTCTACTACGACCGAAACGAGGTCTTACGACGGGTGGGATAGGAACGACAAGCTCCGGGCTTCGCCATCACCAGACGCGAAAGCTGGTTCTAGCCGTCCTGGTCAGCCACAGGATGCCAAACTGCCCGACACGATATTTCGGACTTCACCAAGAGACGGCATGGCCGATCCGGTCCTGGCGAGTTTAGGCCCCGATTCCATCGTTCTCCTAGAGCACTACTATCACCGTACTGCGGACGTGATGTCTGCTAGCCCAAGGGCTGTGAACCCCTATGTGATCCAGCTGCTTCCGATCAGTTTTGCAAACGACATCATCCTGCAGACCATACTTGTGCTGAGTGGGGTGCATTACGGAGAAGACGTCTCCGACCGCTGTCAAGCCACAACGTGGACACACTACGGGCAATTGATGAAGAGCCTCAAGACCGAATTGACAAGACATGTCAGTGGTAGCGAGTCTACGGTGGTCCCTCTATTGATAGCAAGCATGATGCTGATATTTGTGGAGGTGAGTCCTCTGCCCGACCTGCGACTGGGACCAGCTGACATGCCCACAGAACGCTAGAATCGACGGCCACGATAAGATGGCGACTCACATACGGGCATCACGGCATCTTTTACTGTCCGCCTTACAGTTGCCTGGATCCCAATTGGACGACACCACTCGCGCATTTCTGATAGAAACATATGCGTACACCGTGATTCTGTCCGACATCTCGATTGACGTAAAGCATAGCGATGCCCACATGCTGGAAGATGCAGCCGCCTTGCTCCAGTCAATGCAAGCTTCATCAGAATCAGCCACTTACGGGTATCCAATCGAACTCTTTGGGCTCATCCCCGAAGTCTCCGTCTTGGTCAAGAGAAGCCAGCGCGAGCTTAGCCTCTCTGGCTCCATATCCGACGACACCATCTGGACGATATCGAAGCTCCGGGGAGTGGTGAGACATTGGAAGTCAGACTCAACATCATCGAGCACAATTATCTGCGCGAAGATTTACCAACAAGCACTCTTGCTGTACCTGGACGGTGCCGCCAGGGGACAGGGGCAACTCTCTGATTTGACCTCAGATCTGGAGTCGGTGGCATCCGTTCAGAAAGCGTTTGAGATTTTGGAGATTCTACTAGACTGTCTCCCGGCATCTGCACCGATATCGACTGTCCTTTGCTGGCCTCTGGCGGTGTTTGGATTTACAGCCACCTTATCCGCCCACCGAGCCATGATCCGGGACCGATTAAATCAACTACACAAGAACTTTGGTCTGCGACACGTAAGGGAAACTCTCTGTTTGCTTGAGTTGTTGTGGAATGGGAATGAGTCCACTCTTCCGGACCCTGGGCTGTTGTCGCGAATCATGGAGGACAATAATAGGCGTATCTGCTTTTTCTAGACCATCTTCGTCTCCTATCAAACAGGCGCCTCCGAACGGGAACTATGGGCATGTGGTTCTGGCCCTTGCGGGTCCGTAGAAGACGCCAGGCCAATCCCAGTGTGTAGCGCGCGAGCGCTCCGACATTCATCAACGACTGCGCTTACCTGATCTTGGCCTAGAGTCCTAGATAACATCTTCACTCACGGGGTTACACACTCGACAGCAGCACAATATGTATTAAGCTCTCCTCTTCGTTGGAGGATACCGTCGTTCAGATCCAACTTCCTTTGACAACCCTTTTGCCTTGACCACCAATTTCCGTTATGGAAGGTAGCGAAAATACCGCGTCAATGCCACGCGGTGTCGGTGTCCCTGGCACCGTCAAGCTGGAAGACGGCAAGTCCTCCGCTCTTCCTATGCTATCTACCTCTCCTGGTTCCTGTTGCTGACGCCTGTGCTATATACAGCGCTTGCGATCGTCAAGCACGCAGCAGACGGGTCATTGATCTTGTACCCTCAGCCGACGGACGATCCAAATGACCCGTTGGTCGGTCTCTCAGCGCAAATCTGCTCCGAGTTTGTTTATTAACAGACGGACAGAACTGGTCACCTATGCGAAAAACCATCAATTATACTATCGTCAGCTACTACTCGCTCATCGTTTTCGCCATGTACGTCACAGTCATTGGAGAATGTCGATTTTCTTCTGCTGACGAACACCACAGATTGGCAATCAACCCGGTGGTCTGGCAGGACTATAACACGCTATATGGAATCTCTTTTGCACAGCTCAATTACACATACGCAGCTCAATGTATCGGCATGGCTTTTGGCTGTGTCTTCTTTATCCCGTTCGCGTTGAAGTACGGACGAAAACCAGTGTATATTGCGAGTACATTTGTCGTGTTCCTTACGGCAGTGTGGCAAGCGTGCTTACGTGACCTGCCGAACATGATTGCTGCTAACCTCGTCTCTGGTTTGTTTGGTGCGGTCGGCGACACGTTGGTTCAGATGACGGTATATGCGGCCCTGAACTGGGATATGTTATATCCCTACCAGTTAGCGGCTCTGACACATATATCTAGGTTGCAGACATCTTCTTCCTACACCAACGGGGAACAATGAACGCAATATATGTGTTTGTCATCAATATCGGGGTGCGTGTCCTCCATATGGGACGAGCCTTGTCCACTCGTGCTGACTATCTTAGTCCCTACTGGCTCCAGTTGCTGCTGGTTACAGCGCCCATTCGCAAGGTTGGCCTTGGATATTCTGGTGGTGCGCCGTGTTGCTTGGGATCAATCTACTACTGTTCGTTTTCTGCTACGAAGAGACCAAGTATATGGTCATTGATGGTATAGAGCCACGTGGCTCGCCTCCACGAAGAGAGGGCACAGACGATAATATGCTCTCATCGAAGAGCCCAGAAGAATTCACGACTGCGGTGCCCTTGCAACAAACCCAAACACAAGCTGGCCGTCCAGACAGATCACTCAAGACCTACTGGCAACGCATTACGCACGTGTCCGTCACTCCCGGAGGTTTCAAGACTTTCGTGCGCCATGCATACCAACCATTTTTCATTCTTGCTACTTTCCCGGCTACAGCATATACCGCACTCCAGTACGGCAGCCTACTGTCTTGGTATTCCGTGATTGCCGTCACGCAAACGGAGTACTTCTCTGTCGCCCCATACAACTTCAGCACTGTCGGTATCGGCCTGCTAAGCTTGCCACCTTTCATAGGATGTCTTGTTGGCGCGTTCTACAGCGGACCCCTCAGTGACTGGTCTATCCAATGGCTCGCAAGGCGGAACAACAATATCTATGAACCAGAGATGCGTTTGTACATTGCTATTCTTCCAATCTTGTTAGGCCCCGCGGGACTTTTTCTCTATGGTTACAGTTTGGCAAAGGTATGTTACTTTTGGTTTTTCTTCACGTCACCCATGGTTAGGTACTGACAGCAGAGGTAGGGGGCACCGTGGATTGTTCCATGCTTGGGTTATGGTATATATGGTTTTGCGCAAGCCTCCATGTTTGGCTTGAGCTTGACGTACCTGGTGGATTGTTACGAAGAGGTGAGTAACTGTCAATCACTTTCGATACCTATGGCACGACCTAACCATACGATGGTTGCACTAGATCGTCGGAGATGCCTTGGTCGGTGTCGCTTTTATTCGGAATGGTCTCGCTGCCGGAATTACCTTTGCCACGTCGCCTTGGGTCACTAATCTCGGTCTCTGGAATAGTTTTACGTCTGTGGGGTGTTTGTGTCTTGGGTTTGGCCTGTTGACAGTCCCCATGGTCATCTGGGGCAAGAGACTCCGGGAACTTACATCCAGAAGATACGCCATCTATGCGGATCTGCAATCCAATCCACGAGGTCAGAGTTAAGACGTGGAATAGATCCTACTTACTGCGGCGTGGATACGTCCCGAAACTAGAACAGTGAGGAGTGGATGTAGATTACCTAGCCGGAGAAAGTGGACATGGAGAATCGTGGGGCGTCGTGTTGTGAACGCAAAAGAGCCAGGTGAAGGTAGATAAATACAAGATAAAGACAAGGAGTATATATCGCTAGAAGCACGCCAGTAAATTTGACACCATCCCTGAGACTGTTAGTGCTTGCTAAAAACGTCCGCGATTTTCTAGGCTATGACGGTCATGGACGGATCAGAAGAGAAGCGCGTAACATAATGCTATTGGCTGGCGTCTAATTGTTTGACAAGCTCAAGGTTATATATTCCTCATGATCCATAAGAAGAGGAGTTACTCTCGCCAATGAGTCGACACTATGGCTTCAAGATTGGAAACGGTGAAATCCGAAATCGACAGCACCATTGCCTCAATTCTACCAGATTTACAGCTCATCAATTCCAAGGTAGGTTGAGACCCTCTTGTCTACTGAGTACAAGTTTTTGTAACCTCTGCTCACGTTACGATTCTCGAGGCAGATTCATGGCAACCCCGAGTCTGCTTTCAAAGAACAATTTGCCTGCGAGACGCTACACTCGTTTCTGAAAAGTCTGGGAACTGAGAACTTGAGTGTGGCGACAGGTGCTTATGGCTTGAAAACTTGTCTTGAAGCTCGTTATCGAAGTCCTGCTCGTGGGGGTCGGTGTGTTAACTTCAACGCAGAGTATGACGCTCTCCCTGAGATCGGACATGCCTGTGGTCACAACTTGATCGCGCTTGCAAGTTTGGTTGCTTTCACTGCTCTTCAAGCAGCCGTTCACAAGTCTGGTATTGCAGGAGACATCCAATTGCTGGGAACCCCAGCCGAAGAAGACGGAGGTGGAAAGATTATGCTTTTAGAAGCAGGAGCGTTCCAGGGTTGCGATGTCTCTCTCATGGCGTAAGTTCTTCATCCTTTTAGAGAAAATACTACCGAAGAAAGGCTAAAAGCACGAAGACACCCCACTGCAATGTCAGATCATCCAGCTGGTTACAAAGGAACGGCTGGGCAAACATCGACTGCTCTCCTAGACCTGACATGTACCTTCTGGGGCAAGAATGCTCATGCAGGACTTAACCCGTGGGACGGCATCAACGCCCTAGATGCAGTCGTATGCGCCTACAACAATATTTCCGTTCTCAGACAGCAGCTCCATCCGGTCGACAGGATTCACGGCGCGATACTCGAAGCACCTAAAGTTGCAAATGTCATCCCTAGTAGAGCTAAAGTCGGATATACAGTGCGTAGCTCAACAAGACGAGGGGCTTACAGGCTTGGTGAGAAGGTTGAGGCATGCTTGAATGCAGCTGGGCTTGCAACAGGGTGTAAAACAGAAATCTACAGGTAATAGAGCTGATATCTTTTGATTCACAGAGCTAACACTTCTTCGGTATAGACAACCGTTGTACGCGGATTTACGCCTGAACAAAACCCTTTGCTCTAAATTTGTCTCCAACATGGGTCTTTGGGGCGAAGATGTTTGCGAAACCCAGGAAGGCTTTACAGGAGGATCTACAGATCAAGGTGAGTGCACAAACTACAAGAGTACATGACTTCTTCTAAGAAAACGGTTACACCTGATAGGTAACATCTCGTACGAAATCCCAACTCTTCACGCGTACTTTGGGATAGTAGCTTCTCCCGGGGTTCAGATTCACAGTGCAGAATTTGCAAATGCGGCTGGGACTGCTGAAGCATTTGCCGCCGCTGTGAGTGTGGGCAAAGCATTGGCACTCGTGGGTTGGGAGATCCTGAATGACGATGAGGTATTCCGTGAGTGCAGGGCCGATTTCGAGCATGACAAAGCCCTTCGAGGCTAGAAACACGGACCAAGATAGTTAGGTGTCAATTACATGATACGTACATCCTTGTCGGCCAGGGCTTGGAGAGGTCTCTAAGCTGCGAGACAGAACACTTACCGGCAAGCTCGAGGACCTGAAACCTGTCAACCCTAAAACGCGCTACACCATCTAATTGGTCCACGTACTGTAGCTCCTCGATATCGTACCATGTAAGGCGCGACTAGAAAGTTTGGCCCCACTCCTCGAAGGATCTCTGTCCAGTGAATCTGGCAATTCCATTCAGCGCGTTTGTGTCTGCACCCTATACGGATACATAATGACGGAAAGAAGCTAATAGCCACTATACCAAATGGTGCAATCGGGCAGATTACCAGCAACGATGAGTCTTCATGTCCGCGCAGGAGTTGAACAGTCTTTAAAAGGCTGCATTTTCTCGCTGGTGGAATATGTTCAAGATTGACAACTTGACAGAATCCTTCGACCCTAATCTGTCGCCGCAAGTGTCTTATACCCTTCACCCGCCAAGTCATTCACGAATTCACGGCCATGTTGCCCTTGAAAGAGATCAACATCAGCACTGGTAGATTGGCTCGGGCTCATCAACTCGATTTTTCCACATTCTTCAACGTCATCGATGGGGGCCTTCGTGGCTCGACCAGGACAAACCATTCCGTCAACCCGGCGACAAAAGAGGCTCTGGCCGAGGTACCTATTGCGACCAAGGAAGATGTAGACGAAGCAGTGAACGCCGCCAAAACAGCATTCCATTCGTGGGCCAAGACAGCTTTAGCTGAGAGAAAGGCAGCACTTGAGGCCTTTGCAAGCGCTCTAGAATGGTATACACAAGACTTTGCGAAACTGATGACCGAGGAGTCCGGGAAACCATTTCGATTCTCGGTTGAAGAAGCGGACTCTGGGCCCTACTGGATTCGAGGTATCACCAAGCTGGATCTTTTGGACGAGGTTCTGGACGAACCAGAACGAAGAGCTATCATCAGATACTCGCCATTGGGCGTGGTTGTGGCCATCATCCCCTGGAACTACCCAATTCAACTCGCAGTTGTCAAGCTCGCTCCAGCTTTACTGACTGGGAACACAATCATCCTCAAGCCATCTCCATTTGCACCCTACTGTACGCTCAAGCTCGTGGAGTTGGCACAGCAATTCTTCCCACCTGGCGTTGTTCAAGGCCTTCACGGCGACGATGATCTTGGGCCATTACTTACCGCACACCCTAAGGTCGACAAGATCACTTTCACGGGATCGACCGCGACGGGTAGGAGGATAATGGAGACTGCAAGTCGAACGCTGAAGAGAGTAACACTGGAACTGGGGGGTAATGACCCGGCAGTCGTTTGCAAAGATGTTGATGTCTCTGATGTCGCCCAGAAGATCACTGAGTTCGCATTCGCCAACAGCGGCCAGGTCTGCGTCGCCGTGAAGCGCGTATACATCCACGAATCGATATACTCGGAATTCCGGGCGGCCATGGTTGAGTCCACCAAGAGACTACGCGTTGGCGACGGTTTCGAAGATGGGGTAGACCTTGGACCCATCCAGAACGAAGCGCAGTATAACCGGGTGTGCGGCCTTTTGGAGGATAGTCAGAAGCGAGGCCAGAAGGTCGCCCTTGAAGGAAGCACCACAGTATCGCAAGGTTTCTTCATCAGTCCCACTATCATCGACAACCCGGAGAGCGACGCCCGTATCGTTCTGGAAGAGCCATTTGGTAAGTGGTCGTACATCTTTCAGGTCTCCCTTGTGAAGCTCACGGAATACATCCAGGTCCGCTTCTTCCGATAATGTCCTGGTCCACTGAGGAAGAAGTCATTCACCTTGCCAACTCCACACAAATGGGATTGGGTGCCTCTGTCTGGACAAATGACCTGGAGGAAGGTGAGCGCATTGGACGACAGCTCCAAGCTGGCTCAGTGTGGTTGAACACTCACATGGACGCCGCACCTCACATACCATTTGGTGGGATCAAACAATCGGGCCTTGGTGTCGAGGGTGGTATTGAAGGCCTCAAAACCTTCTGCAATATCCAGACACTCATAGTTCCAAAGTAGCTTTCGTCGAAAGTGAGAGAGGATTTCTCATGAGAGCTGGTTTAGTCATATTGTGAATATCTAGAGACGCTAGATAGCTCGGCTGCCTTCCCTTAGCACCAAGTATATTTTTGTTTGGAAATCCACATGAGTTTGTCGTCGTGTTCTCCCGACCATCTGAGACAGCAAATAGACTCCTTGTGCCGCTCAATCAGGTTGACAGGGCCTTGCAAAATCTCAGACACCGAGGACATCACCAGGTTTGGGGGATCCCAGACCTGTACACCCGCCAACATGCCCGACTGGTGAGCTTCAAATTGAGCTCTAAGAAGTAGCGCTGCCATGGCTTGATTCGCTTCTGCCAGATTTTGAGCATCAGGAGGAATGACCGTTTGAAGGATTTGCAGCTGCCAGTCTTTCTGACTTTCAGCAAATACCCGGTTCCAGACCAAGACAATCCCGGTAGCTCTATGTAAGGCACCTTTAATCGTGGGAGCCCGTCTTTCAAGTGACGAGCAAATAAACTCCTCACGGGCATGGTGCCATGCAAAGTGCTCGATAGTTGGACGAATTGCCAAATAGACAGTATCTGGATCGGCTCTCGATTTCTTTCGCAGCTCATGTTGGAGATAGTCCACGGCGGGAATGCCCGGTAGGTCGGAAGCGCTGAGATCTTCCACCGCCGGTAATTTCATCCTAGAGATTCCATACGAATTTTCATCTAGGGGTGGCAGATGGATATGGTTGCTCGGAAAGACCTTCCAACCAAATCGGGCATAATAAGAGGGACCGATATCAGAAAACAGAACAGAGAATGCGTTCTTCACATCTGGAACTTGCTGCCACGTCTCCAGTTTCGGACCAAGATCTGCCATCATCCGGCCGGCGTAACCTTTCCCCCGATACTCAGCCCGCGTGTACACGGTCCCGATACCGTGGGCTCGAACCTGTTCGAGGATTCCGTTTCGGACGACGTCGGCGTGGTATAGGATTGATTCACAGGAAGCAAATATAGGGCGTGTTCCATCCGCATTTGTGGGCAAACTTTCCGAAGTCAGGATCCAACAGGTGATGCCGCCATTCCTTGTCAGGTCTGTACTATGCAAAGCGGCTTCCCGATGAAGATATTGTTCGGTAGTCAAACTCCCTTTCCATTCTTCGACATTGAGTTGCGCAGTTTGAACATGCTCGACAGGTGTGGCCACTGCCAAAATGAGCTCTGATGACTGAGAATCCGGTTGCAGGACAGGTTCGACCGCTGGCGGCATCATGGTAGTGAGCCGCATGGCTGTGGGCAGATACGATTGTGTGTTGCTATTGGGAATTCAAAGGATAAGCCACAACATTCGGAGACAGAAGAAGCCAGGATGCTTATCAAGGTGAGCCACAAGGTCTAGAATATCTTAGTGATACTCTCAGGTTGCATTCAGGGCGCTAGTTTGGTGGATCGGGAAGAACTTTTGGGGGCGTGCGCGCCCTGCGCGGGCAATTGTGGCAACTCAACCCTGCGGAGACGGAGCCGCGACGGCGCAATGTCCTCGGATTGGCCAACGACGAGATAAACGTCTTCGAGATAGAGGCCAGCTGTTTCAAGACCTGATTCATGGTCGACAATCATGACAAAGACATGAGCTATGTCGTAATTTCCTTCCAGTAAAAATGAGCAGAAAGTTGCCGTTCATGTCCTCTCACACCACGGGCTTCTGTTTCTCGAGGACGGCAATCTCTTGGGATCCTGCTTTCCACTCTTCTGCCATCGTAATAAACCTCCTGACTTTCGACAGCTCTGTTGCCCAGGAAGTCACAACTCGAACAACTAAAGACCCATCGCAGAGACGATCCCAGATGTAGAAATCAAACTCCTTCTGTAGTTCTTGAACCAGAGCTGATGGTAATATCGGAAATACTTGATTTGTTTCCGTCTTGGCCCATAGATTGAATCCCATCTTGACGAGAGAAGAAGAGATCTCCGCCGCGGTGCTGTTGGCGTGACGTGCGAGATGAAGAAAGAGATCATCCTGCAGAAGCGTGCTGAATTGAATTCCCAGGATTCGTCCTTTGGCGAGCAGTGCCCCTCGCTGCTTCATATGGTAGGGAAAATCAGCTCCTAAGCTTTTATCTTTGATGACCACAGCCTCCCCTATAAGTGCTCCAGTCTTGGTGCCTCCGATCCAGAACAGATCTGTAAGATGATAGATGTCATTCAATGTCATGTCAGTCTCTGAGGAGGCTAAGGCAGCACCAAGACGAGCACCGTCCATCAGAATGAGAAGATCGAGGCTTTTGCATATTGCGGCAATGGCTGCTAGCTCACTCCTTGTGTACACCGTGCCAATCTCGGTTGCGTTCGAGATATAAACCATCTTCGGCTTCGCTTGGTGTGCGAAAATTGAATTTTGATCAAAAGCTAACCGAATCTTGTCTGGCGTCAGCTTGCCGTCCACTGCAGGCTGAGTAATGATTTTGTGTCCGGTTGCCTCAATAGCTGCAGTTTCTTTCATCACAATATGTGCCGAGGATGCGGCAATGATTGCCTCGTGTGGGCGGAGGCAGCTTGCTATCGACAAGAGGTTTGCTGCCGTGCCGCTGGGCACAAAGTGGATTGTCGCTTCATCGGCGCCGATCTTGTTTCGAATTGCTTCCCTTGCATCTTGAGAGAATTCATCGTTCCCGTATGCTGTTTGTTGGGTCATATTGGTACGAGCTAATGCTTCAATAATTCTTGGGTGAGCACCTTCACTATAGTCGTCGAGGAAATTGTATTTAGACATAATCGTCGAAGGCGTAGGGAAGAGGGAACTAGACTGTAAGACAAATCCGACACGATCAAAGATTGTACTATCGAATAGGTAATATAAGCAACGGAGAAGAAGAGAGGCCAACAAGCCTTATATATACATATTCTCTATGCCTAGGCGCTAGGCGCTAGGCGCTTACATTACTCCTAAAGCTTAATATTGACCCTACCAGGGCCTCTACATAGGTCTTCATCTCTTATGATAGAGGCGTTTATAAACAGTGTTTCCTTGCCCATCTAAAGCCGATGTTTATCTTATATACAGTGGCTTATTATAGAGGACTTATTGCTGTCTAGTTGTTCTAGTTTCGCTGACCCAAGCTTGCTATGCTCTTTCGTCTGAGTGCAATATATTTACTCAGTAAGCGCTGCCAACTTCCGGATATATGAAATCGTATAAAGTGGGAAAGCCTAAAATATTATAATACTAGTATTCTCTTATTTTGCTGCGATAGTAAGGTACCTACCGGATTGGTTGCGTGTTGTCAAATGGTTGAAGGGTGAAAGGTTCCTTGCTCTCTATCAAAGGGTCGTAGGGGGAGCGCATGCTATATAGTATAGATAGTACGCCTAAACAAGCCTTCTGGTTAAAGCACACGGCTGGGAATGCCTAAATTTAGTGCCTAAGTTTGACACGTGTGAGATTTTAGGATAGCGGCGCCGACGTGATGACGGAGTTGAAGCCTTATCAGCCACTGAAGTAAAAGTTACGTCAAGCACTGGCCCCGTTGTCGAAATATACTTGCTTCAGCTTCATTAACAAACATTGTGATGTTAAACCAGATTTACCACATCCTTGCCCTTTATCGCAAAGGCTGTGTTATCCAAGGTGTCCCTTTCACCTTTGGTAGAAAAGGGAACCTTTTACTACGTCTGTGAGCGAAGCAGCATGATTAGAGGGTATGGTGACTGGATTGAATTGTTGCTACTCACAACCTATGGTATCAAATTTTGGCCAGACTCCGCAATGATACTTCACGTATGCTCATCCCAGGTAGAGCCCGCTGGTGCTACAGAAGTTCTGGTGTCGGAGTGTTCCTTGGACAGTTGCCGAGCCGAATGTGATCCGGAATTTTCTGGATGTATTGTTTCCCGACAGGGGGTGTACGGAGTACAAGGGGAACATTTCCGGGAAATTTCCACACCCACCTGCGTCTGCCACACGCGATCTGGACCGAATGTAAGTGGAAAACTATCCAATTGTCACATTCTGAATTATTGCTTGCGCAAGGTACTATTGCAAAATGACTGAACAGGTGTATCATTCTATTTACCCAGACATTTATGTCCCGACGGATGTGTCGCTTCATCAATTTCTCTGTGCTCGAAACCCAGACGATGTACCCGATGACAAAGTCATACTGGAAGATCTCTCTCTGCCAAAGAAAAGACTGACGTACGGCGGTGTTCGAAGAGATGCAGCAATTGTGGCGGGCGGCCTATCTACACAGTATGGCCTCCGAGCTGGCGACGCCGTGGCTGTACTCGCGCAGAACAGTGTCGAGTATTCACAACTTGCACACTCTGTCATGTGGCTGGGCGGCGTAATAGTGTACGGTCTTCCTTCCTCCGGCACGGGGATTGACTAATATGGACAACGCAGTGGACTCAACTGGTTGGCATCCGCCTACGAGATACAACACTACCTGGCCATCGCCCGGCCCAAGCTCATCGTGGTGGATGCCCAGTTTCGGCCTCGAGTCGAAGAAGCCTTGAAAGCCAGCAAGCGACTCGACCTCAAGCCTCGGGTGGTTGACCTCGGAGGGGACTCGCCAGAATCAGTATGTGCCCACTGGGATGGTCGCAGATATCCCAGCTAATGCCTGCCGATAGATATTCAAAGTCGCAACGAGGGGCTCAACTCCCCTGCCGCCGTTTGACCTCTCGGGAAAGGACAATCGTAAGCATCCAGCGGCTATAGTCTTCAGTTCCGGTACCAGTGGCAAGCCAAAGGGGGTGCAATGGAGTCATTATGGAGCCATCGCTCACCTCCTGACTTCAAGGAGTGCAAACCCCGAGATTCAGAATGCCCGGGAACGAGAGGTCTTTTATGCACCGTGTAAGCTTGGGTTATTCATCATGTTCTCTAATGTACTGACATGAGCCAGTTGCACATATGTTTGGCCTCTTGGGAGCTGTGCTAGTCCCTTCCTACATTGGAAATTATGTTCTGGCCATGAAACAGTTCAACTATGCAGAATGGATCGAAGCAAACTCCCGCATTCGGGCAACCAGCATGAAAATGGTTCCGCCCACCGCTGTCGCCATCACCAAAGATCCCAACGTAGAGAAGCTCCAGCTTGACAGCGTCAATACGGTTGTCTGTGCAGGAGGGACGCTGCAAGCGGAGGTGGTGCAACGACTTCAAAGCCTTTTGAAAGGCGTCTCAATCATCCAAGCATACGGGTAAGAGAGATGTGCATTTTAATCATGGCTGAGAATATCACTGACTGCGGTAGCATGAGCGAGACGGCTGTAGCCGGGTTGAGACCTGGTCGCTCTGTGGAGAAGTCTGGCAGTGTGGGCAGATTGTTCCCTAGCGTGTAGGTGTCTCGCAAACTCACTAATCATCTGTCATTGGAATGGCCGGCTGACTGAATACTTAGAAAGCTGAGGCTTGTGGATGATCAACTGCGAGATGTTCCTCTGGGAGTCTCGGGGGAAGCCTTGGTCAAAGCCCCTACGGTATTCATGTAAGGGTCCCTGTAAGGCTTGCTGAGATGCAGTCTCGCTGATTGTTTCCATTAGGGAGTATCGAGACAACCCGGAAGCTACAGCACTCGAGTTCCACAATGGATGGCTCCGGACCGGGGACATGCTGCGGATGGACAAAGATGGGTTTCTTTGGTTCCAGGATCGAAAGAAGGAGATGATTAAGTACAAGGGGTATGCGATTCCTATATGATCAATCTCCTGCTGGCGCCGTCGACTGACGTTGGTTTCACAGGAATCAAGTGGCACCTGCGGAGCTTGAGGATATCTTGTCCTCTCATCCCGACGTTGTCGAGGCTGCGGTGTGTGCGGTGTTCGACTCCTCTCAACAAACAGAGATCCCTGTTGGTTATGTATCTCTGAAGCCGGCGATCGCGGAAAAGGACTACCCAGCTGTCCTCGAACGGATCCTCCAGCATACAAACGGACTGGTGGCACCTTACAAGAAAATTCGGGGAGGCCTTCACTATTTGCCCACGATCCCCAAGAATCCCACCGGAAAGGTCATGCGCGCTGCTCTGCCAGCCAGGGTAGAAGCGGCAAAGGTTGCTACAGGGAGGAGTTCGAAGCTTTAAGAGGCGCTCGGCTTCTTGTCCGACCATCTATAGTTTGATACGAAAGGTAGAGTTTCTATGTACCTATGTTTGTGACGTCCTAGTCTGTGCACATGCAGTCTTTATATCTTATCGAAACCTACCGATACGCCGAGAGTTTCGCATACAGATGCTGTAGATGGCAGGGATGCCTGCTGGCTGTGTTCGGAGGGATGCAACAAATCACAGGTTTGAACCATGTCGCTTGGTCAATGCCAGCTCTTGTCTCACAGCAAGGTCGGCGATGATTTCCTCGCTCCCTCCGCCGACCACCAGCATGCGCAGATCACGGCTGATCTGCTCAACCTGCCAGCCAACACCACCTCTCTGGTACCCAGCTCCTCCTAAAACCTGCTGAGCTTCGCGACAGGACCGCTCAAGCATCTGACCGCCAAACACCTTTGCGAGAGCGATCCGGCTGGCCAAATCATCGGTCCACCCATTCACGTTGACATGGTAGCATATCTGTTCGAGCCATGCCCAGTGAGCCTCGACGTCCTTGGCCAGAGCAGCGAACTTCTGTCGAATCACTTGGTTGGAAATGAGCGGTTTGCCGAAGGTGACCCGGTCGTGCGCATATTGCAAAGCGACTGACAGACACGTTCTGCTCTTCCGGTTCATGATGACTGCGATCATAAAACGTTCCCGATTGAAATCTTCAAGGTACTGTTAGTGAGAGTCGTAATGACCGTGACCAAGACATGTGAAGATGCTCTTACTGCTCATGAGGGTACGGAAGCCCTGGTTCTCCTTCCCGATGAGATTCTCGACGGGAACCTTGACGTTCTCCAGGGTGACCCAGGCACTCCCTGTCCGGATACGTGTTAGTGTACTTTTGACAATTGCAGTCGGTGTACATTGACTTACTTCCAGCATTGGCTCCGCTGTTCTTGATCTTACGGGTGGAAAACCCAGGACGATCCGTCTCAATGACCAAGACCGACACCCCTCCGGCACCAGGGCCCCCTGTTCTCACAGCTGTGGTCATGTGCGTTGCTTCCATCGCGCCAGTAATCCATTTCTATGGTGGTAACGATAAGTAACAGGTAGTTGCCTTGTGGAATTAACAGTCCTCACTTTGTGCCCGTTGACAATGTAGTACTTGCCGTCGTCCGTTTTGACCGCCGTTGTCTTGAGGCTGGCAAGGTCAGAGCCGCCACTCGGCTCTGTGGCCCCAAGACAGAATCTAGTCTCACCGGTAATGATGCCAGGAAGCCACTTCTGCTTCTGAGCCTCCGTCCCGTACGCTATCACCGGGGGCAAACCGATGGCGGAGGCCGAGGCGAGGCCCGAGCTTACACCGCTTTCGATGCGGCCTTTCTCGTCGGCCAGGATGAGAAAATGGAAAGCATCCCAGTCTGCGCGAAGCATGAGCCAACACTCTGTCACGATCCAAAAATGACATTACCCTTTTCATCAATGCCAGCTGGCAAAGAAATACCAGGACGGTATTTGGGAGGAACATCCTGCAGTGCAAGACCGGCGCGCGCAAACCGCAGAGTCTCCTGCTCTCACTCATCAGTGCTATCAGGACCAGGTTTCAGAAGCCAGCGCACCTCTAGGGGAACATGGCCCTCTTCTTCCCACTCCTGGGCATTTGGAAGGACGTTGTCATCAATGTATGCCCTCACAAAGTCGCGCAATTTGCGATGGCTGTCATTATAGTACGGCGATGACAGCACATTGTACCAGGCTGGTTCCGCCCATGGACTTGGATTGCCGAACCGATCTCTCATCCTGGCACTATCCACGAAGCTGAAAGCTGACGTGTGTCCTTGAGTATCCTTGTAGATTAAGGGACTCGATCAGAGGTCTCTGCTTTGACAAAAGTAGAGGTTAGCATTGTTGGTGCTCTAATATTAATGATACCACAGTACCAGCCATTCATGGTTGTTGGAGGATTCCTTGTGCCGGACGGAAGGGACGAAATTCCGGGGTCCTAGGTCGGAATTTAGCTGTTCCTGCATTCTGCCAGGTACTGGGAGTAAACCAGCCTGAGTTGCCGGCCGAGGGATGAATAGCCCGGCTCCAACGATGCTATCCCTATAAGGGCAAAGGGCCCTAGGTAGGTCAGAGCTAATTCCGAATGTCTTTGAAATGTCTTGTGTGGGCGACCGGGGACTCCGCCATCCTAAGGAATCCCCCTCTTTTTCCCCACGGAGGCTAAAGCACAGAGCATACCTCGCCTGATTAAAGCCCACCACACAGTCAGAGCTGTTTGTTACACCGTCATCTCTAGTAATTGCTGTTTCCTGTAACCGTATATGTTCTAGAATTTACATCCTCAACGCGGAGCAACAAGTAGTTCAGTGTAAGCATTATCTCCTCTTCGCAACACCTCGCCCGGCCAACCTTTGATTATTCTAGTCCGTAAAGATTAATCTCTACAACAACCTAGGTCGTAGGAACCGTCCGTTCTATAATCTTAATAAAGAGAAGAATTGACGATGGCCACACCACTGTTCATCGCGGAACTTAGAGTGCTGCTACAGCAGCTCAATAGCAATATCAGCAATGTTCAGAAAAAGT